TATTTAACCAAGGCAACGAGATTTAAGAATTTCGACGATTGTTTTTTTGTTTTTAACAGTTCAATATTCTAATTTAACTACTATCAAATATCAAGTATGAGCCAGTGTGTTTATTCTGTACGAGAACCATTTTCAATTACAAAACCTTGATGTTCTGTTACCGGTTTTATCGTTTTATATCATTTCGGACTTGTCCTTGCTCAATATATTTTCCACAATGCCTCGCAATATTTCGGCCAAATATGATTAACTGTCTTTACCAAATGCGGCAACTTATTTTGATTCTTGAATACCACCGACACTTGACCAAATTTGTGTCAATCTTGGCCGATAGGATCGTCGACTTGAGTTAGAAAAATAAGTTAATTTTTTCGTGAGTGCAAAATAAATGTCACAATATGCATATTTTTGCGATATAACTTTGTATTTTCGGAAAAGCCATGTCATATAAGTACGGTATTTAAATTATGCGCAAATAATTAATATTTGATCTAAATTTGTTGCAAATAATGTTACAACATTTAGGCCGCGAAATGATTTAATGTAAAATGAAGCATGGTAATCGGAATAACGTCAATAAGTCGGCATCAATAATTATTATAAAATGCTGACTAGATAGTAAAGTCGAATAATGTTAAAAACGGTGCAATAACAAGTCTTCGTCGCGAGGCAAACGCAAGTATAATCAAACGAGAGAATACGCTCGTCGTGGCATTGATAAATTGGAAACCCGACATTTTTTTAATACGATTTTAAAAGAGTCAACTATCGTTTCATAAATATCCGTATACCAGTATCGGTAATGATAAAATTGATCGCATAAAATTTGGAAAGTTAATTTGCGAAGGTGATGAAGGAAATCAAAGCTAGCACAAAAGATAAAAATCAGAATAAAATTAATCTGAATTCACTCTTGTCTTAACATCTATTGCCGGCGTGTAGTACTGCTAGGAATATGAAAACCCAAACTCAATGTCCCAATCGAAAATGAAGTGGATCCAATTGGTTGTTATGATAGGTTTAAATGTGTGAAAAAATATCGCAGTTACGGGGTCATTACGTAATCGATTTGGACGTAATTACGGAATTGATTTTTGTCAATTACGTGCAAGCCTAAACCAGGCCCTGCGTAAGCATCCAGCACTGATGCACGGCCATCCTTGTTCTTCAGGAATATGGATCTACTTCCATTGTAATGTATGCTAATAATGTTTTGGTACAAATTCAGGGGGTTCAGGCCCTGGTTCTTGAATGAGCCTTCCAGGAAACATAAATTCCATTCAACTATGGCAATTACTAGAATCTTATATGGAACGACTTAATAGTGAATTTGGGATCACTTTAGAAGCAGTTACACTACCTGAGCAAGTCTTATGAGGATTCACAAGAGAGAGATGAAGACATCAATGCCTATATTAAATACAAATAAAATTCCATAGACTTGCTTAAGAGAGAAATTGTATTTTTTGAACAAGACAATAACATGATATATATCTTGTGTAATACAATAATATGACGATCACCAGATAATTCCTAAGATTTGAGTAGTAAGAAATCACTGAGAACCAATTTAACACAAACAGAGACCAATGTATTTGACATTAGTGTACTTCAGGGATTGGCTCACTTCAAAGTATATATATATATGCGAGGATAAACGGTATATATAAATTCCCATAGCTTAGTAGGCCAAGATGCCACCAAATGGTAGCGAGTTATAGATTGTACATGCCGAAGCTATTTATAGAATCTAATCCAAATACTACATTTGTCAGCTTTTAGTGTGACTGAAGATTTGAAAATTGTCTTCAAATATTTTTATGTATATACCGTACTTTGTCATTGAATATAGCAACTGACAATAACATCGATAAACAAAAAGATCACACTAATGTGATTTGTGAACTAGCATAGAAACAATTGCAACAGCATTATTTCATCATTTTGACATAACATTTTGGGATTTATTTTTTAACTTTTCACAATCACACTGATATTTATTTAGGTACATACATTAACAATATAAATAATGTAACGACTAAATCCTTTGTCATTCTTATACAGCTAATGAAGTATTCGTACCAAGATGGCGCACAACCTGAACATTGTATGGTTACCAGGTTAGGGTTCAGGATGTGCGTCATCTTGGACCGAATACTTTAAATCCACTTGAAAAAATTGCTCAACATTATATAATCCACACCCACCTGGGTATCATTATATATGTCATATACATTATATCTAAACAATAAAAAAAAAACTTTGTCCCAAAACAATGTTAAGGCCCGATTCTGCCGGACTATCTTATCCAAAATGTATAGTTTACAAAAAACAAATTAAAATATAAACCTCACTGATAAATGGTGGCACAATACAAAATACACCCATATAATGTGAACGTAAATTAATATGTCCGTATCTGCTTGTCTAAAGCCCTGCTTAGAGTGATATCGTGTAACGCCATATTAATATATTGTAGCCCAATACATGATCTATGGCTGGACATAAAATAACAAGTCCTTCCTTATGTGTGTGTTGTAGGGAGGCCGCTGCCCTCACTGAGTTTGTTAACGTAGTCGCAGACGCCATTACGGGTGATCAGCTCTATTTTGTTACTGTGACGTCGCATTGGAGTAATTTTTTGATGACGAAGTCAGGTGAGGGTCAGGAATATTATATGCAAAAATAGTTACGCTAAGTTAACTATAGGTAATTGAGGTACGAAACTACATCCATAGGTGTCATTACGAATATCGTCGCTATTATTGTGCAAGCCGTATTTCGTGACTGTGAGATTTCTGTGACGTAATTTTTGGATGACAAAGTCAGGTGAGGGTCAGGAATGATATATGCAAAAATAGTTACGCTAAGCCTAATAGAAGTTATTGAGGTACGAAACTACACCCATAGCGTACACACAGGCGTAATTATTACGAGTTCTTTATTGTCGCTATTATTAGGCAAGTTCTATTTCGTTATTGTGAAGTCGCATTGGCGTAATTTTTTGATGACGAAGTCAGGTGTGGGTCAGGAATATTATATGCGAAAATTGTTACGCTAAGTTAACTATAGGTAATTGAGGTACAAAACTACATCCATAGGTGTCATTACGAATATCGTCGCTATTATTGGGCAAGCTCTACTTCGTTATTGTGAATTCGCATTGACGTAATTTTTTGATGACGAAATCAGGTGAGGGTCAGGAATATTATATGCGAAAATTGTTACGCTAAGTTAACTAGAAGTTATTGAGGTAAAAATCTACATCCATAGGTGCAATTACGAATAACGTCGCTATTATTGGGCAACACCCATAACGCCATACACCCATAACGTTAAATCAGATTAATATATATGTCCGATTCTGCTTGTATAAAGCCTTGCTTGGAGTGAAAATGTTTAACGTCTTATGAATAAAGGTAGGACGAATACATGACGTACGGCAGGACATCAAATAACAAGGCTTTAGTTGTGTGGTACAAAAATACACTCATAGCGTACTCGCAACCGCCATTATTACAGCTTTATTATCGTCGCTATTATTGGCCAAGCTCTATTTCGTTATTGTGAAGTCGCATTGGCGTAATTTTTTGATGACGAAGTCAGGTGAGGGTCAGGGATATTATATACAAAAATTGTTACGCTAAGTTAACTATATGTAATTGAGGTACGAAACTACATCCATATGTGTCATTTCTAGTAATCGTCGCTATTATTGGGCAAGCGTTATTTCGTGATTGTGACGTTGCAGTGACGTAATTTTTAGATGACGAAGTCAGGTGAGGGTCAGGAATGATATATGCGAAAATTGTTACGCTAAGTTAACTAGAAGTTATTGAGGTAAGAAATTTCACCCATAGCGTACACACAGGCGTATTTATCACGATTGCATTATGGTCGCTATTATTAGGCAAGCTCTATTTCGTTATTGTGAATTCGCATTGACGTAATTTTTGGATGACGAAGTCAGGTGAGGGTCAGGAATATTATATGCAAAAATTGTTACGCTAAGTTAACTAGAAGTAATTGAGGTACGAAACTACATCCATAGATGTCATTACTAGTAATCGTCGCTATTATTGGGCAAGCGTTATTTCGTGATTGTGACGTTGCAGTGACGTAATTTTTGGATGACGAAGTCAGGTGAGGGCCAGGAATGATATATGCAAAAATTGTTACGCTAAGATAAGTATAAGTTATCGAGGTGAGAAACTACATCCATTGCGCTAAGGCAAATTAATACAGTAATATATCGGTTTCTGCTTGTCTAAAGCCTTGCATAGAGTGAAAGCGTTCCACGTCCTATTAATAAAATGTGGCACAATACATGATCAGTCTCTGGATATTAAATAACAAGTCTTTATGTCTGCGGTACCCAACCTCAATCATTGCGTGAATTAAATGTTCTTTCTGTTTGTCTAAAGCCTAGCTCAGAGCGGTATCGTATACCACCCTATTAATAGATAGTAGCACAATACATGAGCTATTGCTGGACATAAAATAACAAGTCTTTATGTGTGTGGTACCCAACTTCAACCATTGCGTAAAATAACATGTATTTTCTGCTTGTCTAAAGCCTTGGTTAGAGTTGCATCGTATAACGCTCTATTTTAGATTGTAGCACGATACATGAGCTATTGCTGGACAGAAATTGGTCAGAATGGGATATCGCTGTATCGTGAACGTTCCTTGGCGACAATTTGGTCGCTTGTGATCCTTGTTTGAGCTCTGTACATCGACCCCGATAAGAGAGAGGTCGCTGACGTATTGAGTTTGTTGACATACTCGTAGGCGCCATTACGGGTGACCGTTGCTATACTTTGGCAAGCTGTATTTCGTTATTGTGACGTCGCAGTGACATAATTTTTGGATGACGTCATCAGGTAGGGATCAGGAATCATATATCCAAAAATTGTTACGCCACGCCCACTAGAAGTTATTCAGGTAAGAAAGTACATGAGACCCAATTATCGACCTAGATTATTTAATAATTTCTCAGCGATATAGATTAAACAGGGGCTGCTAATAATCTGTCCTCTAAGTAAGGACTAATTGAAATCTTGTGTATTGAAGAAAAGCTGACAACTCAAGTTTTTTGAAAACAATGGCTCATAATACTGATTCTGGATATGTGAAGCTTGATTCTGCTGCACCTGGAACCCAGACTGGATTCCATGGCAGGTGCACGCCCGAGGGCGCTAGCGCTCCGCAAAAATGCACGCGAGCGAAATCAATTTTGCACGCCGAAAATTTGCAATTGCTCACCAATGTAAATCGGTTTAAATGGTTTTAAAATCAATAATCCAGTAATATAAAGATGCCAAAATATTATAACTCCACAATTGTCGACAAATACCAGCCTGCAAGATTTGGTCTGATCGAAATATTGCGAAGCAAAAAGACCATGGACCTTTCCCCAACCTTTGACCCGCGAAAAATTCCTCTCATTGTTACGTCCTTTTTTGCATCTAACTGATTGGCCAATGTCACGAAGTAAACAAGGAAGTCGATGCTCGGGGAAAGATCCATATCGTGTTGAATGATAGGAAATAGGAATCCCGTGAGAATAGTTAATGACGAAAAGATCGCCTCCGCACCAATGGCCAAGTACGGCTCTGATTCAGCGTATTTTTCATACAATAATTTTACAAGAATGTACTGAACAGTACCGGTATCTAAAGTTGCTCAAACACTCCCAAAATTAGTGACAAAGTATGAAAATAATGTTTGCTTTAATTTGACGTATTTTTTATCCATTAATTCTACGTAAAAACACTACCAAAATTAATGACAAAGTATGTCCATTTTGCTCTGGTTCAACGTATTTTTTATCCAATAATTTTACGCGGATGTACTGAACAGTACCGGTATCCAAAGTCGCACAAACACTCTCAAAATTAGCGACAAACTGTAGAAATAATGTTTGGGGTCAAAGGTCAAACGTCCATTTTTTCTCTGATTCAACGTATTTTTTATCCGATACCGGTAATTTTACGCGGATGTATTGAGAGGTATCTGATGTCAAAGTCAGTTGCACGCGAGTGCAGTTGTTTTGCACGTCGTGAGCTATAATTGCACGCCAGGAATTCTTATTTGCACGCGGGAATTTCTGATTGCACGCCCGATTTCTCGTTCAAAAAGGCCATGAAATCCAGACTGGCCTGGAACTGAAGCAACTGCAACGAATATTCAACCACAGCAACAACCTGAAGAAGCTACTCAATCCCAAGTTACTGCACCGCAGCCAGAAACAACAACTCCAGCCCAAATCAAGCCGAGGATAAGGCACAAAATTGTTCTGTTCAAACTTGGCATTGCTGAAGTAATTTTCGGTGTTTTATCATGCATTTTATGCGTCATTACACTGATACTCGGTCACAAAAATTCATCCTATCTGTACTATGATAATTATGAGAAAAGATATTATCAAAACAGAATCACATATGGATCTAATGTTGTCGCACAAGGAATATGGTGTGGTGTTGTAATACTTGCATCCGGGATACTTGGAATAAAAGCAAGAGATTATCCCACAGTTTGCATGTACCGGGCTAATATGACCGTCAGCATCATAGCCTCATTTTTTATGTTTATTCTGTGTATTCTCTCTGGTGTTAGCACCGTCACAGTATATCCTCTGAGGTACATATACATATTACTACCTTACCACATTATCTTGGCACACATTGGATTGGTGGGCATGGTTATCTGTATTGTCCACTCAGCATATTGTTGCGCTGGCATTTGTTGTCGCACGAAGCCCACGCGTGTTCCACAACCTGCATATTCTCGACAACAAATGGTTCGACTTGCAAATGGTCAATATATGATGGTACCTATCAATGCACCACAGAACTACCCAGGAATGCCCATTGCGCAACAAGCTGTTGTTGTTCCCCCAGGGCAGGTGTTTCCTCAACCAGTGACAGGAGTTCAACCCTACCCATCAATGCCAGGACAAGGGCCACAGTATTACCCACCAGGACAGATGCCTTCGCAACCGGCAATAGTTATTCCTGCAGGACAAATGCCTCCAAATCAACCACCGCCAATGTACTCGCAGTCACAGCCCGGAGTTCCTGCGTTCACTACACAAATCCAACCGAATGCTCCCTGCCCAACGATGCCTCAGCAAGTCACCCAACCCCTGAACCCTTCTACATATCCGAGACAACTACCCTGCAACCCTTCTGTTTAAAACAGGAGATTGGAGATGAAGTTTTGAGTCCGTGTGGGTTTAAAACTTGATGGAATTCATCGATGGAAGTACTTTGTAAATCCTATACGTATACACAAACAATCGTATTCATACTCACCGAACTGCATGTAGATATATATATCAAAGTACTTTGTAAATCGTATACGTATACACAAACAATCGCATTCATACTCATCGAACTGCATGTAGATATATATATCAAAGTACTTTGTAAATCCTATACGTATACACAAACAATCGTATTCATACTCACCGAACTGCATGTAGATATATATATCAAAGTACTTTGTAAATCGTATACGTATACACAAACAATTGCATTCATACTCACCGAACTGCATTTAGATATATATATCAAAGTACTTTGTAAATCGTATACGTATACACAAACAATTGCATTCATACTCACCGAACTGCATGTAGATATATATATCATATACACAATGTTTTTTCTAATATTGTCATTTCGCTAAAATTTATCATGACAGATTATCGATTTTAATCTCATTTTATGTGAAACCGCAAATTTTTTTTAAGCTGAATATGGCATTCATATTGAAATAATTCTTCGTAAATTGCATAACTATTTTTTAATGGTTACTGGTTTTACTCTTGTGTTAAAATTGTCAATACTTTTTAATTTTTACTTTACGGTTTTCTGAAATCAATGGCAGTGTGCAAACACAAATATTTTACCTGGTTACATGTAGCAACAATTTCATTAGATAACTTAGTACAGTATTTTTATGTGATAATCGTAATCCTTGTCCTGAACCAGATTCTACAAGTGCAACCACTCATTGTATATGACCAGTTTAAGCACCATTTTCGGTGGAATAATCGTTTCAGTTTAGCAGTGCCTCCCCAATTTATTGCGTCAATGAAGATTATTATTATCATTCATTATTTCTCCCTTTTTTACATATTATCATTTTTAATATATTGGCTTTTCATGCCCATGACTAGATTCTTTTTATGAGGTGTTGCGTTCTTTTAGGGATTATTTCTACAGTATCCAGGCTATTGCGTATAACAAAATGTCAATATTACCTATTTTAACTAGATTTTTGTATTTGAATCTCAGTGTATTTTCTTGCCATATTGTACATTACACATATAAATATTAAATAGTAAACATAGGTTTTCACACCAGGGCTGTGACGTCATAGTAAGTTTACACTCCAAACTCCTAGCTATTTAGATAAAACAGCCATGTCGCTCTAATCTGGGCAAAAATTTTAACTGGGACTTAAAAGCTTAAAGAGCTTTTAGTTTTAAATAACTTATGCACGTATTCATCTTTAATTTTCAGTTGAGAATAATTAGTGAATGATGTTTTAAGTTTGGTTGGAAATTTTTATATTCATCAACATTAGAAATCTGAAATCCTGAATTTGGAAATATGTCTCCTACTTACTTCATAGACCTATTCTGTACATAAAAAGAATATTGACATGATTTTATTTCATCCTATTATTTCAATTCATTTATAATATTGCTGCATGTTTCTTGCCGTTTTACACTTGCTTTTGTTGCAATCATCTAATATTTACCCTACAAGTTCCATGATTCATTCGTTGCAATTTTTATTTACCTTAATTATAAAAGATCCATGACAATGTATATTAGTAGCAAGTTAGCAACTGCATTAAAATTTTGTGATCAACATAATGCTGTACATGAACTTCCTACATAAATGGAATAAGATTTTCTTAGTAATCCTGGGGGAAAAGAAAATACCTTAATATGGGTAATATATTCTTTAATAAATATTGTTGTATTTACCGGCAGTTTATTCTTATTCAAACAAGGTTGACGGTGTCTCGAAAACGTTGTGCCACATGTTCCCAATACTTTAATCATGTCTTATAAGTGGGGCAACTGGCACACTACATTCTTGAGACACAGCCGTCATAGTTTTAAAGTGTGCGATTTCAATTCTGAGATTATTGCTCTACCATATTGCAATATTGTGCACTGCAAGCTTACTAACGTCATCTTCAATATAAAAGCAATAATGTAACTTCTTGTTGATCTGAATTAAAAATGTTATGAAATATGGGGTAGGGGATGTGTTAGAGATATGAGCGTGTGGACTCGCTTTTCAAAGGTTAGAAATTTATTCAAGCTGATGACATGTATTCTTTTTATATACATATATATATACTAACACTCTGAACAAGGCCCTGCGTAAGCATCTAGCACTGATGCATGGTCACTGGTTCACCATCCTTGTTCTTCAGGAATATGGATCTACTTCCATTGTAATGAATGTTAATGTTTTGGCACAAATTCAGGGCGTTCCCAAATCGATTTGGCCAGGCCAGTGTACAGCAATAGACTTATTAATATCATAATAGGCCCTGGTTCTTGAATAAGCCTTCCGGGAAACAAGTAAATTCCATTTAATTATGGCAATTACTGGAATCTTATATGGAACGACTTAATAGTGAATTTGGGATCACCTTAGCAGTTACACTACCTGAGCAAGTCTTTTGAGGATTCACAAGAGAGAGATGAAGACATCAATGCCTATATTAAATACAAATAAAATTCCATAGACTTGCTTAAGAGAGAAATTGTATTTTTTGAACGAGACAATAACATGATATATATCTTGTGTAATACAATAATATGACAATCACCAGATAATTCCTAGGATTTGAGTTTGTAATAAAAAATCACTGAGAACCAATTTAACATAAACAGAGACTAATGTTATTGACATTAGTGTACTTCTGGGATTGGTTCACTTCAAAGTATATATATATATATGCGAGGATAAACGGTATATATAAATTCCCATAGCTTAGTAGGCCAAGATGCCACCAAATGGTAGCAGGTTATAGATTGTACATACCGAAGCTATTTATAGAATCTAATCCAAATACTACATTTCTCAGCTTTTAGTGTGACTGAAGATTTGAAAATTGTCATTGAATATAGCAACTGACAATAACATCGATAAACAAAAAGATCACACTAATGTGATAGTAGCATAGAAACAATTGCAACAGCATTATTTCATCAGTTTGACATAACAAAATTTTGGGATTAGTTTTTAACTTTTCACAATCACACTGATAGATATTTAGGTACATACATTAATAATATAAATAATGTAACGACTAAATCCTTTGTCATTCTTATACAGCTAATGAAAATAGAAGAAAATGTCCAGATCAGATAATTTCGATTCTGAATAATTGAAACATATCAATCTTGCATAAATTTATCATAAATCTTATTTCATTGAAATTGAAGCAAATTTGGGTAGCGAAAGGATGACTTTAATTATGAAAATTTTAAAATTGAATCTGTCTATTTAACCTAATAATTTGTAGATTACAAAGACGATTGACTGTATGAAAAATTCAATTACGACTGCCCAGTCTCGACACAACGACAACAAACATCGAATAATAATAATGAATGATTATAATCATTACTGTTTAACATAATTTTCATTTAAACTAGGTTTAACATCACAAACAAGTTCCATAATTCTTTGAATAACTCTGCCTTTATTCTGTTGAACACAATTATCTAATTCTTGCATCTGGATAACTTGATTTCTTTCTATATGTTTTCGACTGTCGTCTTTAGAACCTAGGATCTAAAAATTATATGAAAAAATAATTATAATGTTTGGTTCGAAAAACACAGATTATGGAATATGAATTGTTGTAGGCTGCGATACATGCGGATATCTCAAAAGAAAAACAAGCTCAAAACTTAAGCAAGTCAATCAATCAAGTCAAATGTATAGAAAAACAGAACGAGTTATTCATGATTTTCCAAATTCGTATTTTATAAGTAGAATCGTATACCTCGAACTCGTGCTGTTTATATTTTTGTTCTGTTTGTTTTTTATATTCTTCTATTTCAGTTTTTGCTTCCTCTTTGGCTTGTTTTAATCTTTTTGCTTTTCCTGTTGAAGAAAAATTGAATGGTTAAAATATCATACCGGTATCACCACAATTGTGTCATAAGTCAGCAAGTCAAATTATAATAGTCTTGTAAGCACACAAAAAAACAATTCACCAAGTGTCAAACTCTGACACAGGCTAATCACAGAATTAAGTACTGTACCGTAATTGGTTGTGAATTTGAAATACTAAAATAGCCAAGAACTAATGAATTGTATGCTCATAACCGCATGTCTATTAAACGGATATGATCAACTACCGGTACCGGCAATATCGAAAAAAAATCTATCTTACGTTTTCTCGCTTCGGCAACTTTTTCAGATGCCGCTTTTTCTGCTAAAAGAAGTTGTTGAATACCAGGAGTTTGACTTGCCATAGCCGAGATCTGCTTTCATAAAAGTATCCAATAAAGCCTTGAACTGAGTAGAAGAACAGTTGTTCGTCGGAATGAAATAAACGTCAATGCAGAAAACCACGAAACATCAATCTTACAAATCGATCCTGTCACTGAAAAGACGCGTCACGGGTTAATCACGAGACAGAGATTATCGTAAGTTGGCGCTGGAGAGCATTCCAATCTTAATGATGCCAGATTATAAGGGCTGGGAATTTCAGGGAAACCCCTTTAACCGATAACCGAGTAAAATTAACCGGTTAACCGCAGTGACGTTTAACATAATAATTCTTGTTTATTACGTCATAATAATTACAAAGCAATTTCGCGTGATCTTATCGCGGTATCTCTCAAAATTATTCACGAATCGAGATAGTTGCGTGATTAGATCGCTCTGCTGCAAAAGATATGCAGCGTTCTTCGGTCATTTGGAAGTATTTTAGTAAAACCCGATTCCGTTATTAATTGTTCCACTTTGAGATATCATATAGAAAAACAGCATCGACTGCGCAAACTGAATAGACGATTTTGAAATACAGTATTATTGTCAAATTTTCATATTCAGCAATCTTGGTACTTCAAGTATTTTTCACATTTATTGGGTCCTTAGCAATACAGTTAGTACGTAGTATTCTTTTGAATTGAACATGAGATAAATATTCGACAACGTAATCATTTTTGAAGAAATGTACATTGTGAAGATGATTTGTACCTGAAATGTTAGTTAACAGTTAAAATAAATCATAACCGTTAACCATCTAAAATCGGTTAACCGATAACCCAGTTAATCATTCTCAGCCCTACAGATTATAAAAACTTTGTACACAAATGAATGAGTTAGTGAATTGTTTGGATAACTTCTTGTTATTATTAGCGTTGTTAGTACTCTTGTTGTTGCGGTGTTATTATTGATAGAAAAAAAAAATCGATATTCTGCCCAACATATGTACCAATCGATTCCAAATTTTTAGTACTTGAAAATGGAAGAAGTTGATAAAACGGTATTGCTTTTATTTATTCATGTGGAGCCTGATAGTTCACCCCAAATTAAACTGTTTTATTTTAAATAAAAGGAAATAATTTGTATTTTTGCGACCGCCGTTTTTCGACGAACTGGGTGCCTTCAAATATTACTATATTACTCGTAACGATACGCTACCCTAGTTTTCACATCTTTAGGCACTTTATTTTTTATTTTCTATCAGATCACAGACTTTGCATAACGGAGTTTTCAATTAGCATCATGGTTGATCGATGGTATGACAGACAGGATTTCGTAAACTTGTGTTTCTAATCTGAATGTAAAAAACTGCATAATATTCGGTAGTGATTTTCTTACCCTTGAATCGCATGTGTGCGCGCATCGTTGCGCTAGTATTCCCGCTTCCCTTACTTCAACAAAAATCGCCTAATTATTATGTGTATGGGTAGTAGTATCTCTAGATAAGCGGCAGGAAATAACGATTCAATTCTAGATTCCAACTGAACGTAAACCTTACATACCCACATAACTTTGATTCTGTAAGTTTGATAATCATCCCTGACCATAATACACATAAACACTCAAAACACATATTAAGTATTTAAACTATTCACACTCATATACTCAAGCATGTAGGCTGTGGACTAAGAGCGCAGGGAAGCTGTACTTCTTAAGGAATTTCACAAAACGTTTTTGCCACTGGACATTATGTGAGCAATGAGGTGACATAGTGATGTAGGTGTTTACCAACAATGAAACATGGATATATATAGCAATCAGTATACCACAGACAAGACAAGCAGATTAGCGTTTCCGCAACAAAAAAGCAACATAATCACATGAATGATCAACATTCTTAGAGAGTTTGTATTAAATAGATATTCTTAGAAGAATACAACATAATACATATCATGTCGCGTTATATAATGAATGAGCATAGTGAATTATATGATGATGCCAACGAGATAACTATGAATGAAGACAAAAACACGAGTGATGTACGTCGGGAAAATAGTTCCACGTTTAATTACGTCACCACTGCCGAAAAATAATATACTTTTAGCCAAGTACTTATCACATGTAATCGTCACTGATGTTTGTTCAAAATTTGGCTGATGATCAAAACGGAGATTAAACGTTAAATTAAATAGTTTCATAATCATATACGCAAAGCAAACGTGAATCACTAATTCCTGCATCCGCTGGATGTCATCATCAAGCATTAGTCATTCGGCGTTTTCCGGTGCGCACGAGAGTGATTTTCGTTTGGTTTGTATCGCATTTACGGGTATTGTTTAAATGGCCTTAATATGAATTGAATGAGTTATTGTAGAAAGTGCACCGGAGATTTTTTTGTTTCATTATGTGTTTGCATAAAAAGGATACTTTTTTCGATAGTGTGCGCGGATAAAAATAGTTTCGAATGAACTTTCAGTGGAGAAGATTTTTTTCCAATGCTTCGGTGAATACGGCTTTTAGGTATAATAGGTGTACTGTATATAAAAGAAGAAATCAAAAACAGATATTCATGAAAATATTCAAGAGGTGAAGCAGTAGTATTACTGTTGCTACAGGTTTTATAGGAATCGCGATGAATTAAAAACAAATAGGAGAAAATTAAAGCAGACTTTCTTGTAAATAAGCGAATAATAATACATAGTCACGGAGCATTATATTATGTTTTAATCTCGGTATTTACTTGTTTTCTACCAAGCAATAAGATTCTCGAGCAGTAGAGTTTATTTAGAAAAGACTTGTTAGCCGATGTCACTAATTTAAAATTGATACCTACGCCTAGATAGATATTGATGTTAGAGTGTGGCCATATATTTCATGTCATATGTTCAATTATAAGTGAGGCTCTGGACATAGTATGAATCAATTGTTAAAATTGCTAGTTTTTAATAATTTCTTTTAATTAGATTTGGCGTTTCAGGATTTTATTATTCAGTAACATGATTAACGTAGGAGGATTACTGGTTTTGTGCACATTCTAGCATTCCCCGTACTACCCATAATCTTATCAGGTATAAAGAAAAGATATAAAACAAAATGTCTAATGTTTCTCAAGATAGAAATATCCGCTTAGAAAAGAAACCATTCGATTAATTCATTCTACCGTCACATTTTGCAGAAAGATAATCGTGAATAATTCAACAAAATACGTGAAAATTGTATCAGAAGCATTGACTGACGAATGGATAAGCTCGATTAAAATGAAAAATAAATCTAAACCCGGCATTTTGCTGCGGTATTCTTATTAATTATTGCAATACATGAGACAAAAAAATCCTATAGAAAATGTCAATGCATTGAAATTTAGCACACATTTAGTGAGACTATTTTTCTGATTAAATATGAACCTAAGAAGTTAAATCACCGAAACTTACGAAATGTACTAAACTTAAAAAATGTGGTATAAGGTATGTTCGTTTCATTTGCTGTCGCAGAAGCGGAGAAGACAAAGAAGATAATACCAATTTTTCAGAAGAAATTTTTTTTTAAAAAAGGCCTGCAAAGTTTTATGACCTTGATATCGCGCAAAAGTGTGAGAGTCAATACTTCGTATACAGTTACACATTTGATATGGGAAATCAGTGCGTTTGCGAAGCTGTTAAGGCAAGACTTTCATCAAGTATGTCAGACTCCCTTCTTCATAAGCTTAATTAGGCATCCATGCATCATGCACTTAAATTGCTTTCCTGTTGTGACTGTAAACAAAACTCCCCGTTGATACATATATTATAGACAGTGCATGGTATAAAAATAGCAAATGATTTGGCAGATTTAACATAAGATAAATTGGTTGCCGTTGGTATAAAATGAGAAAACGATCGAGTTTTGGCATGTGATGCGAGCGAGGGTGTTTACATTCCCTGTCCGTTGTTGAGAAAAGATGAAGAAATTATAAATAACACCGTTCCGTGGATTTTAGATAAATACATAGGGGACATGAGTAAAACAAAGCTTATATTCCCGCAATTTATAGAACCATATGTGCAAACATTAGGCGTATCATGACAAATTTAAAAAATAATATGAAGGTGGTGCATTTATTTCCATTCCAACTATTTATTTGGTTTTAGATGTCCATTGAATGTATAAGATTTCGATCATAATTATGTTTATTTATTTATTTTTCCAGTATTCTATTATTATTTTATTTAAAACGTACTTTATTTCGATTTTTAGGCCAATAAAGCAAATTTAATGTTTTCTGTATTCATAGCAATAGTCAAACGTGCAGGTTAAACATGGCTGCATCTCGAATTGCCCTTCGATGTGTTAGGTAATTGATATGAGATTTTTTGTCAGAGTTTGTGCGTTATTGCATGTGTATGCTGCGATATTTCTCTCAACCGCGTTAGCTAATGCTTGCGTAATGTTTGTTTCTGCCCATCTGATCATTTTTCGTGTTTTTGTCCACAGGAATTGATTAAAACTGTTTATACTAAATACGCATCGCTCCAGAGCATCAGTTTCGGGACGTATCGTCTGTGGTAGCAGCACACGACGCTAAAAACACGATGAACGAACGATTGTTGCTTTTTGGGGGTTTTGTGTTACTTATTTGTATTGGTTTAACTTCATCACAAACTGTGGAAGATGAAGATTTAGACACAATTCCTGATTATGACGTCATTATTGAAGACGCAGAAGATGCCAGCAAATTCGGTTCGTCATCAGGTTCATTTTTCAGCGACTCCTACGATTATTCAAATGGGAATCCAGTGCATGATCAAGCTGCAATGAAACCCATGGACACTGCTATCATAACAATCTACAGCGTAATTACTGTTGTTGGGCTGATAGCGAATGCAATCGTGTTCTTTGTCATTTTTGCTGGCAACGAAACCGGTAAGAGACTTTCGTTTTTGACGAATGTACTTGTTGATATTTGGTAAAATTTAATTGAAAGTAAGAGTAAGTACAAAAATTGTACCAGGTTAGGATTAGTCAATAATTTTATTAGCCAAGTAAATATACCCTCTGCCCATAGGCACAAGGCCGTCCATTCACATAACTGTATTTAAAGCAGGCAGGCAAAATTAGTTACCTCCATATTGGTACACACACTTCTGGAGCGCCAAATTATCTATAACCAAAGAACAAAATGCATTTGAAACCAGAAGTTGTGACTGTTTTAAGTATACGAAGAATTTACTAAGCGCAGTAAATTATTAATTCTATCAAACGCTCTTTGCAACATTAGTGCTAAGGGCTGAATAGATTGACGTATTCGAAAAAAAAAATGTTATTTTGTATCTACGGATACCATGAAATTGACGAAATTTTTCAATGAATAACTGAGCGCAGAAAAATATTAATTCTATCAAACGTGCGTTGCACGCCTTTCGATGAATAGATTGACATATTCGAAAAAATGTTTGTTTGCATATACGGATGAAATTAGTGTATTTTTTATTGAATCATTTGATAGAAATTCCATGCTCGCGGTTTCAAACATAATATTAATCATTTCCTGTCACATCATCGACTCGGATGATCTACCATTTTTCGACAGATGGTCTTCAACTAAAGCCCCTTGAACGACAGATCTGACTATAATAATTTTCCGCATGAATTTTTCATTTGTGGCACCTTTTGCGGTGTGAACTGTGACGGAAATAGACAAAGAATATTTTGAATTATACATCAAAAATTGTCTTCTATTTGGACACAGACAAAATGGATCATTTAGTCAAATCTTACTAATTCGCTCTGGATCGCAAGATCACTATTATCTTGGTACACAAGTTATTTTTTAATCGATTAATCTATGCGTTTTGGACTCCAGTGGGTTCTTTAGAAAATATCTGCTGATAGTGGCGGTGTGGATTTTATATATTTGGCATCACGAATTATTAAAAGCATATATTATCGTTTTTCTTGTTAGAAATGAGATTGATCGAATCGCTTTGCAGTACGCATCGCATCGATGGGAGTAGTCCGCCCAATGCGCGATCACCAATTTTACCATGAACTCTATTTTTTACTATCTCGCCAACTGTTCACCTAAAGTTTGTTATGCATATAATCAAACCCTATTTGCCTAGAAGCATTATCGTTTAAATTGCATGTTCGCTAAAGTTATTTTGGAAAAAGTAGCACTTTCAGAGCAAAAATACAAAAAAGTAAAATAAACATACCAGAAAGTTGGAATAATTTAACTTATTTGAAGATGATTTGCTTATTCATTTTGACAATTTTCTTTCGTCATGAACTATTTAAAATGATATTTGGCAATGGCTTGAATAAATATTTTGAAAATATCAACCATCGCGTCTCGCTGTTGAAAAATATCGTAAAATTGTACGTTTTTCAGTGTAAAATGTGATTCCGACACGATATCACGAGTGCATTATGCAGGAAAATTCCGATTGAGCGAACATTAGTGGCAATGAGTGTGTGATAAGCACTGGCATCCATGGAAATCTTTTTGTAGCTGAGAGATTTCTTATCAGACTAATTATTTATAAAATATTTCTTTTTCCGAAATATTATAAATATTAGTCATCAGCGTGACTTCAAGATAATTATATGAAAAGTTTTTGATCTAATTCCCACGAGAGTTGAATTGTCTTAAATTAAAATGTTATTTCGCAGAAAAATTTCAATGCAATATTTTGAACATTTGCCTCCGAAGCCCCGTTGTAACGGTTAATTAAAAATACATAGACTGGAGTCATAATCGATCTGCATTGACTTTGAAGATAGAATATTACAGAAAGATCATTAGCACATGTATTCAGCTCTATTCGTCCAATGATATTTTATGCTTGTGTTTCTGACTTTGGGAAACGTTGGAAAATGTGCTGGTTTACATTTTGTTCTTGGAATATACCGCGCGTTTCCTTTTCGGGAGGTATATCCCGAGTTTACACAACTAATGAACAAGAAATGAAGTCACAATGATTGCTTTTCGTGGTATACGAAAAACATTTCACAATTCATTCAAAGTTGGTGACTCATGACTGGGAATTTCGCGTTCAATTTGATGAATTTTTTTTGTAGTTATTAGTGTTACTTTAGAATTAAGATCTCTTCATCGACTCATACTGTCTTTTCTCGCGTAACGATCGATATACCCATAATTGTCCGTCATCGACAATGTTGGGGGTTCAGTTACATCACAAAACTTCATTATTTATTTGGTAATTCAATTTGATCATTTTCTCTATAGATAATAAACTGTTTATGTTGTCCCGGCTTGTTCAGCAGGAATATAACCGTGTTATTGGACACTGAGTGCCGAGGATAATTCGATTTTGATCACGCGCTCAGCTGGAAGCCAATTACAAACGAATTATCCCACAATTGCTCACCTGAGTAGGTTTCATGAATAAAACAAGATTTACTCTTCCAGCTGTCAGATAATATGAAGCAATTAGACCAAAATACCCCGCAAATTTGATTTTAAAGCCACTATGAACAGAGACCAAATATATTCTTGTTTCCATTCGAACAAAGCAAAGCAAAATTTCTTTATTTCCCGCAAATAGCTGTACTTTTGAAAAGGACATCTGTCCTGTAATTGCTCAATAATTTACTTACTTTTAAGTACGATCATCACAACAAGTAGAAAATGGCCAAACGCACAATGAGGGTGCTGTATTGCAGAGGTTCTCAAAGTGCTCCAAAGATAAACCCAGGGGCTCCGCGAGCTATTCATTTACTTATTAAAATACTGACTTGGCTAATTTTGTAACTGTTCAAAGAAGCAATAACGACATTAATAAAATTTGACAACGGTGGCATTTTAAATGGGGCAACAAGGTATCAAATATGACAGTATCTAAAAGTTCCAATAGATAATTTTTATTAATTTATTGTGGGGTTCCGTGAATAATAGTCAACCTCTTCGCGGGCCCCATAACACCAAAAGTTTGAGAACTCCTGCTGTATTGCATCGTGTGTAACCTTAATATGGTTTGCGTCCGCTCTATTATTTATGCTATAAGACAGTTCATCTTGAATTTCCATCAAAGTTTCGGTAACTTATGGCAGGGTTAAATGCAAATTTAATACTTATTATCGATTAAAGTAATGTGAGAGAAGCAGCCAAATGTAATCGTACGGCACTTGAACTTCCTTATTGATTTATTAAAAAGTTGCTACACGCTGACAATTCACGGCATTATTATTACTATCGATCCCACTAATAAAATCATTGTAAAATTGTAAATTTGTCTTTGGAACTATTTCTGCTCTATTCCGCATCTTAGTAGGATCAGTTGTCGATAAATTAAATTAGCGATGCAATTATAGGAGTTACGAATGGCATATAGACTACCGATTTGACACGCGTGCAATGGTACGTAATGGATGTAATAAATAATTAAAATGGAGTAAACACGACAAAAGTCGATATTTTAATTATGTAAAAAATAACATTAGTTGAAATGTAACTAGGTTACTCATTATTTCGATATTTCAATCATACTAACGGGGTTTGACAGGTTGCTCTAAATTAAAAGCGGTACACAATGTCCGTCATCGGCTTTAAAATATTTATTGATTCCTATGATTTTCATGTGGCGATTTATCCAGAGGTGGGCATGGCTTATAAACCAGGGGTTAAAACTTTTGCCCACCTTGACTGGCGGGCCGTGTAAGTGTGACGTAAACGGTCACATTTTATGAACAATATTTAAAGTATTACAAAAGCAAAAGTGGAAAACAATTTTAGCTGAAAAAAATAGATCAAAGAATCTCTATAGATTGCGATTCAATTTAGTTTGGCTTATATCAAAACTTGATTTTATTTTGGTCGTGGCAACATCAGGTGGGCCAGATTGAAGTACCCAATAGGTTGAATTTGGCGCGCGGGTCGTAGTTTGCCTATGTCAGTAGACTATCAAGGTATAAAGGTAGATATTTTTTCATAAAATTCTCTATAATTTTAGTTAGCACAATATTCCTAATGCGTAATTTGAAGGATATAACTATTTTCTTTGTTTAAACATCCAGGGAAAACTGTGACAGCTATATACGTGCTACAACTCACAATAGCAGATACCGTGTTTCTGTTTACTCTTCCTGTCTTCAGTATGCAGAAGGTTCTCGATAATTGGAGATTTGGATCAGGTATATATGACGTTAACAAATTAGGTAACGTCATTGAAAATGAACTTTGACAGGAAATTACGCAACATTTCCACCGTTTGATTCTCTTTGTATACATTGAAAAATATATTCAAGGGTAAAAAATCTTGCAAAATTACCAAAATGTTGGAATTTCATAAATTGGATTTTTGAGTGGCTATCTAAGCTCGATATTACTTTTGCCCATATGCTGCTTTTTGTCACACAATTACCTCAATTTTTTTCTCAAAAAGGAGGATTTATCAGTAAAACTTTTTCTACCAATGGTTGTAAACACAAAATTTATTTATTCAACTTTTCAGGTGTATGTAAACTATGCCAAACAATCAAATTTATGAATTATTACGCTGGAATTTTTTTCTTGATGGCGATGAGTGTGGACAGATACATTGCTGTTGCTTATAGTACACGGTTAACACAGGTATTTGATTCGCTTTATTTCAGTCATTTGATGATCGAAAGGCATATAAAACTTTAAGGGAATATTTTGATCGAAAATAATTTTATATAACTCTAATTTTGGTTCGGATTTTGGTTCCTTTCTTAAATTCAAAGATTTTGTATTTTTACATGCGTGAATAATTGGCTTCAATAATTTGACATGGATGAACACGACTTGATCATTTCATAATTCTGAAATTTATTTATAAATGCCATATCTACGAAAAATGGCGTTGAATAAGGTCATCAAGGCCATGTTTCCTAAAACCAATAACTAACCAATCCCATACCCGACATGGAATGGTGACCGGACGAGAGGCCGTGGTTCACCATATAGTTAAACCATCTCATCGCCTTTCCTTACCCTCGGGATAAATATGTAGATCCTATCCTATCAAATTTATAAATTGACCTTTAACCCCATAATCCAGGTCCGAACAAAACGACGAACGTACATTGTCTGTGGTTGTATGTGGGTTGCAGCAGTACTGATGAGCATTCCATTGATGATGTACGCAAGAACTGAAGAAGGTTTTGGAGTCACTTTTTGCAAATTGATATTTCCGGGATATATTGAACTAGATCCTGGCGACGGATACATCGACATGTAAGTGATTGTAAATTCTCCGATAACTTCACGAGCGTCTCAATCGAGGTAGTTTATATCATATTAAGCTGAATGTATTAACAATATGAAACGATTTTTACACAAATGTTGAACATATACCACCTGTTACCAAGATTTACTATACAAAAAAGGTTCAAAACTTGATTCAATAATGACAAATTGTTTTAGTTCGCCATTTATTAGAATCGGTTTAAAATACACCAGATAACATTCAGATATAGACAAAACTGCCCTTATTCTAATTATCTATTATAATTTTTATAAATTGAATAAGAGATATCAGATATAAAACATCAATGATCAAACAACATACAATAATGGGTACTCCCGAAGTATGTGTACCAGGTTCGGGTTAGGCCATAATTTAGGGTACAAATACTACAGGAGTCACTTGGCTAGTCCCCGAACTTGTAATAGAACTAAAATAAAGAAAATTGGAATAAAATTAAAGCCTGACCCTAACCTGGTACACATACTACGTTCCGGTGTCCGCCATCTTGGTTCACATACTTCGGGAATACCCAATAATGTGTATTTAAAAATAACATTTATTCTTAATAAGAAATGGTGTTGTGAAGGTATCTTAGTATAAGTCCCTTTTTGTGTCAACCCGATTGATTCACCGCAGTGCTAAAGTTTATCTATAAGTCACATTGCCATGATCTAATTAAGTGAAATCATGTTATATGATGCATCAAAGTCCTCACACTCACGCACGTATTTAAATACCTAACTTCCGGATCGTGACATGTAATTAGGTTTGAGTGACTTGATGTGAATATAGCGCAGACTCACGTTGCAAACGACAGGAATTTCAGAGAAATAATGAAACAAAATTATAAAACTGTATGCAGTTAAGGCAATTTAATCCAGACAGTAAACAACTTTTTAAAACATAACATGTGGAGCATATGGAGCTTACTTGCGAATTGTGTGGATCAACAACCAGTTTTCATCGTTGTTCAACGATGCCTGGATACTGCTTCCGAATCCCAATCAAAACTGTTTTCACATTCAATAGACTCAATTTTTATTAACTGAAGTTATCACTCTTTCAGCTATATATCTATATCTATATCATTGCAAATGTAACTCATTTCTAACAGTTATTTAAGTGGTTTAGAAATTGCGGTTATAGTAAAAGTTTTCCTATTTACCAATAAGTTCCATACGTCTGTCACGCGTCGAATTCCGCGTTTATAAAGTACTTTAGGAGGTACGCCCGAAGTTTGTGAACCAAGATGGCGGACTCCGAAACGTAGTATGTGTACCAGGTTAGGGTGTTAGGCCATGATTTTATTCAAATTTTTTATATTCCAGTTCTACTACGAGTTCGGGGACTAGCCAAGTGGCTCCCGTAGTATTGGTACCTGAAATTATGGCCTAACCCTAACCTGGTACACATACTACGTTCCGGTGTTCGCCATCTTGGTTCGCATACTTCGGGAGTAACCTTTAGGAAAAACATATTCTAATACTTTTCGCAATAGTTAATTGCTCCTTGGTAAAGTACGGGGAACGCATCATGAACTATGAACTCGAGGTGAGGCCTGAATTAATTTCGCTTCAACACTAATTTTTCAGATACGATTATTACGACCATGGTGGATCAGGATCTGGGGAAATCATGAACGAAAGAAACGTAAACATATCAGACTTTGAAATTTCCGATACCTATAAGCTAAATAATTGTAAGTTTGTGTATTTTTTTGCAGTGGTAACTTTAAAAGGGTGATTGTAAAGTTAGTACCCAAAAGTGAAGTATTTTTAATTGTAAATAAAGATTTATCATGAGATAATTTCTGACGCCCCCCATTAACTTTACCAAATGCAAGATAACTAAAAGCCCAATTTTGTTGAAATTCGACATATAAATCGATTCATTTTAGCGATTTTTGGGAGAAATGGTTTCAAATACTTCAAACCAATTTTTACTATAGCAATCCGATGAAATCAGGATTTTATCCGTCGTAATATGGCAGATGTTAATCATCCTAATCTTAAAGTTCAAAGTTTAATTGAGCCAAGTAATACATAAATGTCATATTCTCTTGCCTCGTGGGACTTCAATTCAGAAACGAAGAGACAGATGATATAAATTTGGTACAATCATTTCAAAAAACATATGCATATTTCCAGTGTCTGTCCCTCCGTTGACAATTTTATTTTGACACCTATTGGACCAGATGACGTTGATAATATTTTACAAATAATTTAGGTCATATAAGCTTCGTTGGCACAAAATATCTTTTCAAGATGTATTTTATTCTTTTACAGCATTACCGGGGGTGGAATCTAAACCGTTTATTTGTGAACACGAGTCTCAATCTGATCACTATAAATCCTGGTTGATTATTGATTTTATAATTGCTTTCATGATTCCTTTTCTGGTAATCGGTGAGTATTTTAGATTATTCGTAGACCCAGATATATTTTGATGAGTTACGTTGGAGCGGTAGTAGGATAAATGTTTAAGTTAGTTCAACATAATTCGATTTGAACGCGTGCCGTAAACTATGAGTAAAGAAAATAAAAAGCCTTGGTGACTCTTGGCTTCACAGAAATGTTTTTGTGAAGAGAAAAGGTCCCCCGCGGGTGACAGGTCTACTTTGCTGGTTTCCTGAAGCGCGGGATCCCTCTTTCTCCCTATACTCTCAATCTTGATCTCATTAGAAAATGTTTGATATCCACGCTGCGATATCAGGGTGTTAAAAAATTAACGCAAAATTAACAGAAGTTAAGATGAAATGCTAGTTGAAACATTTAACGACTGATACCTTTTAACAGTATTGAATTACGGTGAGATGCCATTTAAACATCAACAGTTACTTTTTTAACGTTGCCATGACGAAAAATTTTACCCAAATTTTGCGTAGCTTTTTCAACACCCGGCATAAGAAAGTTTATTTATCTCGCTTTCAATCGAGCCTTCACTCAGAAAAGGTTGTACTCTAGGACTAAAATTAAGCAGAAAATGTAACGCCAAACGCAAAAAGTTATTTCTCACACAGGATCAGGTACACAAGGTTTCAATTATCGTAGTACGCACGACACTAACACGTGGATCTTTTGTACAAAGCCCCCGCCACTAATGCAAAAATGTGAGATTCGAGAAAAACATCCCAGCCGCGTTTTAAAAAATTAAGTCTGTAGTTATCCAGTTAGGGTCGGAAATGATTGAAAACTTGAATTTCCCGCGCAATCTGCATTCCTAACCCAAACCCTAACTGAGTATTTACTATTTTATTTTTTTGGCAGTTGCTTTGTACTAAAGATCCAAACACACATTAGATTCTCTCCGTAAAATGTGATGTTCCCATTTTAATATTTTTTATCGTTCGAGTTGTAGAATATTTACACATTACTCGTACGTATATATGTTTTACAAGGTGGTCAGTTACGTGGAGATTCTCGTTCTCTCCACACGCTAAAATGTTATATTCCCCTTTTTATGATTTCTATCGTTTGAGGTATAGAATATTTACATGTTAATCAGTTTTCATACCTATTATCCATATGTTTTACGCAGTGGTCAGTTACGTGAAGATTCTCACACACCTTAAAACTGCGGAAGACAAGATAGGACATACAGCAACAAACAAAGCTGTAAAAATGAGAAAACGAGTCACACGTATGGTGGCAGCATTGGTTGTTTGTTTCACCGTGTGTTGGCTGCCACATCATCTTTTCATGTTGGCAAGAATAAAAGGTATGTGTATCATACGAATCGTGTGGAGAAATACAAACTAATCATCAGTGGATATCTAAGATTTGGAGTTCAAATATCTAGTAGTGAATGGATACGAGGTAGCCGCAACTTTGTTAAAACAGGCTATGGAAAACTGATGCCAATAACACGAAAAAAAGCAAGAGAACAGCGTGGCGCCGTTTGGTCATAATTTAGGTGTGAAATAACAAAGCCTAAGCAAGCCAAGACGGAGTAGTATAAAAAATATGAAGTATTCTATTTTGAAAATGTAAAAATATGTGTTTGGTACAATAGTGATAAATTTGTCAACCGAAATATCAAAACAATTGTGAAAACACTCTAAAAGTCTATTTAGTATTCGAACAAGAACTAAAAACATTTTAAATGATGATGGCAATGTTAAAACAGCAAGGCTAATTTCAAACGAGGTAATTACTCCTCTACTCCACATGAGGAATGCTCAGTTTTCTCTCAATTCTGATGGACTTAGACTTGTGTGTTGTTCCTCCAGTATTTTGAAAAACATCGAGGTTGACGTATTGAATCGATATTATTACTCATACCAAATGAAAGTATGCGTCAAAAATGATTAAATGGCGAGGTGAAAAAAATACACGAAACTATTTAGCACATCCGGTGAAACTAAGCCATTTGACACATTCTTTCCAATGCGTGTCCTGTTGTGTGTGACGTGATTATGCAGCAATGAATTCGTGGTCATTATTTTTTTGTAATCGTGTTATGACTACTTGAAACTTGAAAACAGCAAATTTTTGTATATGGTAACTCTGGGATGACATTATTACCGATTTTCCTGTCCAATAATAAATATTTTCAACTTAAAATGACGTATTACTGCAGTGGGAATTGGTCTATTATTGGTGAATTTTATCATACCCTACCATATTATACGCTACAGGATTCCATTCTACCGTTCCTGTTTGTCACGGAATAGAGGAGTTTTTCGTTGCGTTGGCTTTCTCGAATTCAGCAATAAATCCGATTCTGTACACGTTCATGGGAAACAATTTCAAAGAAAGATTTAAGAAAAGCGTGAAGAACACACAATTGGCAATTAAAAGAAGACATTCTAGCATGGGTTCAGGACATAGACGGTCGACCAACAGTCATTCCGACCCTACGGTAAGAAAAATAATATGCTTAACATTTTCAGAGATAAGAAGAATTTTATAACAATTTTTTTGAATCTTTCTGAAAAGTGACATTTGTGAATAAATTTTGCACACGAAGACGGCAATTCATAGTCTCCGGCCAGTAGCGCCGTTGGTAGATTTATTAGGTCAGAGATGCGACCACCCCAATTTTCCTCATACCAAATCAAGTAATAGTATATATGTCATTGTTTCATTTATGATAATAAGAGACAAAGTCGTGAGACAATATATCACGAACCCCAACAGAGTTAATACGCCATTGTCCTTGGTGCCGCTGCTCGATAACCAAATTTGGTTTCTCGCGGCTCCCCTCACCCTGAAATGCCTTTTATTTATTTATTGCAATTTGTATATCAAGTGTGCATTTAGTATGGTGAGAAAATAAACTACTGATTACTGAAATATGGAGAAAATTACTACTTGAATTCACTGTCTTTGTGATCTCCAAACAGCCGACAAAAACATTAAATTGCATTCCCACTGAAACCTAATTTACAGTATCGTTACACTGATCAAAATTGAATTATTCAGAACACCAAAAGAGCAGGACTGATTGTACATTATCGCAAAGGATCCTGCAGCAGAGACCAAGCAAAGAACGGCAGACCAAAACCACAGAAAAAACTCAGTCAGCTTGCGCTATTAGGCCGCAAAGAACGTCCACCCGCATATGATGATGTCGTGTATGACTCTGTAAGGAATCTTTATTTTGAGTACTTGGCCGAATGCATAACTGTGAATATGTAAATAGTATCAAATCGATTTGAAAACCGGTATTCTAAATTTGAAATCTGATCATTCAAAATCCCACCAGCAAAAATACCGCATTTCCCCGAAAAAAAAAAACTTATTTCAATTTATTTCGAAAAATAACACTAGGGCTTATTTTTGGGGAATGTTTTTTATTTATATTTATTAAAAACAAAATTATAAAGTAGAGAATTACGAGATTTTCGAATATATATACAAAATATGAAAACTGATAAACATTTACTTATAAATAACGTTACCACAGCACCCGTTTTGGATTAATCATTTAAAACGTGGTAGACTAGGTCTTGTTTTAAGGTCTTATATTAAAATCATTTTTAAATTTCAGGCTAGGTCTTTTTTGATTTATCACTGAAAAATAGGAAAGCGTCTGCTAGCGTTAATTAATCGCTGCCAGTTTTTATCAGAACAATTTTAACGAGTTAATTTCCTAACTCAACTTGATTGCAATTGTTTCCGAACGACCAAATTTATTTGTTTTGTATAAATAATAAGGATTTAACATTTAGTGTTGATAATTATATATAGAAAACCGATTATCAAGATTTGAAATAATTTTATCGTATATATATGCAGGGTGATCAAGATACAAGAAACGGAGGGTTTTGTGGAACAACAACAATAGGAGAACAGACAATGGAAACAAAAATATAAACTGTTTTATTTCAAAATTCTTGTCGGAATGTTCTGCGTATATCCTTGGATAAATGAGGCGAACTGAACAAAAATTTGTTGAGATATTCGCAATGATATTTATAAAACACTGAATCAGATGTACCATCATAAATAACACTTTTATTTAGAAGACACTTCGCTACAAAACCACAATCATATGAATACTTTTTTCCGCGTTGTAGGAATGATGTCATCGGCAGCTCGCATAAACCTTAACTCGGTCCCTTACTATGCCTCACATTCTCAATGTTTTTCTGGCTCCGCAAAAGCACGTTCTTCAATAGTAATATTACCACACTCAATCACACATATGACGTTCTTCAAAAAATAATTTCAACTTTGGCTAAATGGCCCCTAGTTCCACTTCTCGACATTGAGCTCGTTTAATTCGAACAACAATATGATCAATGATTGAATAATCAATGTAAAATTATATTCAACTTTATTTAAAAACTCCTAATTTTTTATTCGCTCTTGTTTTTTTTTTCTTGCTATATAAATATCATCCTTTTATCGTTTTCTGGTATGTGCAAAGCTTTGATATACTCCTTGTGTACAATAAATGGTCCTCAAAATAGGTCTCATTTTATTTATTAATACCCGGATGTATCCTGAGCAGTCATGAACAGAATAAATATGAAGTGTAGGCTACAGATGGATCGTTTTAATTGCGCACGAAATGAGCCAGTTTTGTCTTTTTGTAATCCTATGAAAAAGCACTTCTCTCATTAACTACTGGACTAATTGCTTTGGGATTTTCAGTTGTTGAAGATTGTATTTTTCACGAGAAGGCTATTACTTTTATTTATTTTAAACATTTCTGTGCGTACGTCATCACGATAAAAAATTGCGGACATTGTGGCGATTGTACGAATGGAAGTATGTAATTCGAATTGTACGAATGAAGTATGGTTTGAATATATTGACAAGAAGGTCAAAACGAAATCACTGCCGGTACCGTAGTGGTGGTCTACCTGACTACGCCTCACCACCAGACCAACATACTCTACTCAACTGTAATAAACTTATGCGTGGCAAGTCTTCAGGAAATAGTAATATAAATTACTAAATATTGACCAAAAATGAATCATTTTAGACGTAGCAGAGAGCTAATTTGACATTTCAAAGCTAATTTGCATATTAACTCCCTACAAGAAAATTTTTATATTTCGTTCAACTATATTAAATTTATGTGCGACAATTCTCCAGAAAATGGTACTTTTTGTTTGTGAATTCCGGGAGCACGAAATGTAACATTGCTGGTAAATTTGAAATGGAAATCACTAATTCCACGATCCGTTATCATCTTCTCTATGTCCTCTATAATCTATATTGTACTTGTTTCGTGTACTTTTTCATTCACCTAATAGCAATGCACAGTTTTAAAAATAGTTATTATTGTCAATTTCCATCGGAAATATAAGTTGTTGCTCGTGGTTATTTACCGACATCTAGTGTTTACGGATATTTTGCGGGTCCTCGGGTCTTCTGTTGGTGCAAAAAGTTATTCTAGCCCAGTGCTCCGCAACCTTTTTTAACTTGCGGCACACTTATAAAACTTGCCAAGTTTGACGGCACTCCACAACAAACGAAAAATATAAGGTGTAACTTTGTTTTATGTTCATATAACAATGAGAGATTTGTGGTTGTTTTAATGAGCACAATCGCTCTATATTAGGATCATTACGTGATGCGGAATCAATTTTGCAACACGATAACTAGCTTCTAATGCTTTTTCGGAGACTGTAAAAGACGACTTCACAGAGCATTCTTGCTTCTTATTTTGACTTAACAACCGTTGGAAATAATTTATATTCTTGCGGCATGTTTCGTATCTAGGTGGCGCATAAGTTTACTCGGAAACATTGCTTCATTTGAAAGTTGCTCCCCCCAAATAACCACAGCAAGAAAATCCATTTGACGTAATCTTCCCTTTGGACAAGTTTTTTTTTCAACGTTGCTTGTGCTAGGTACAATATGTTGCTCAGTATCAGCTGTTCTTTTTAAAAATTTATCCATTTTGCTAAACGTTCTTTGACTTTTTTAATCAAAGACCACTGGGCACTGATTCCGCAAACTCATACTTTATTCATATTCGATTACTACACGTGCTATGTTTTATCCTCGACAATAGGCTTCACAATATACATGCTTGTCATATAGGTCTCTCCTTGTTACGTCACAAATGCACAGTGGGGGAATTCAAATTGGTGTCGCTCAAGCTAATCTGAAAGCAGGTTAACTTTACGTTAGTAGAGTAGAGAGAGAGAGAGAGAGATTTATTGATTCGTCAACCAAAACAAATATAAATATGAAAGCATAAATACAAATAAATAAACACTGTTTATGGTAAAGACTGGAGGGAGCGATACGACCATACGGTCATCCAAGTCAGCTCCCCCCAAATTCACTGTTATGCATAAGATTCACAGGTAATGGATGACTATGAGTGTAACGGCTAATTATAGAGTAATATACACTTAAATAATTGTAAAAAGCACAATTACAAGGGGCTATTGATTTAAGTTAGTTATCACGCTCATATGATCATTGATCCATGCATATTAATTACTAGGGGCCTGGAGAATTACTAATATGGTGAACAAATTGTGGTAGTTATACCCAATGAGCGTATTTGGATAATTATTATGGTAAATGAAAAGGAATATAAGTGAAAAAAATTAAAAATTAAAATATTGGATTTACGAAGATAGGATGAACTTTGGTTTATGAAAAACAATTGAAACACAATATGAATATGGAGGTCAATTTCAATGACTACTGAAAGGGATTTTTCAAAGTACAAGAAGGGGGTTTGTAATCAAATATCTAAATAACTAATATCATTAATTAACAAAGGATGAAAAATAGAACTCTGAAACCAAATCGGGGTCTGTAGAGATCTAAGTTCTAGTGTCTACAGGGGGTGTACTGTGGAACGGGTGTACCCATTTAAAACATTTTCATCAAACAGCAAAAATCTCAAAAGGTAAATGAATATATCAAATATAAAAACAACTTCGAGCAATATTGAATTTTCAAATAGTTCAAATACCTATAGCAGTGCTATTGATAGGAAGTGGACCTAATGTATTTGTGGTAATTAGCCAAAATATAGTAAAAATTTCACAATCAGGGATGTAGAGGGATGAATATTTGAACTCAAACTTCACTTACTATATTGTGAATAGAATACTAATTTGAGATAATTCGAAGGTTACAAAGAATTGCGCTTTACTTAATAGAAAAAAAAATGGATAGGATTCAATATAATGCTAATCACAGCCACTTTATGAAAAAACCATTTCGGAGTATGCAAGTTCAAAGTTGGGTCATACACGAAAAGAGGATTATATATATGTAATCGAATATTACAACATTATATAGAATATCCACATAACTGATTTGGTTGATTATATTTTTGCAATATTAGACCAGCGGAATTAATCAGTTGACAACTTTTGAGTTGTTGCATCAATATTCCGCCAAGAATAAACTACATCATATACAACTAATTTCAAAACAAGTTATTCAGTTGACACTTTACGAGAAACTAATTCAGAGGATACAAGTTCAACGTGCGATCATACATGAAATGAGAGTTATATACAGTATATATATTCAAATATTACAATATTATGCAGACTACCAGCTGAAATGATTTGATTGAATTTATTTCCTGCAATGTAGGACCAATAGAAATACTCTTGTGGCGGATTTACAAATTGTTAGATTAATATTTGATCATGATTCCACTACAAGGAGAACAACTAGTAACAATACTGATTATATTATTTAAAGTTCTCATCTTGCAGATTGATGATTGCCCAAATTTGAGGTAAATCATAGCAACGCACCACCATGAGTATACTGATAACCATAACCAAAAGTATACCAAAATGTACTCCGGACCTAAGAAGAAAATAAACATTCAACCCAATCAGGGAGTACAATGACATTAAACAGTCAAAGGAGACTTCATCAAATATATAAATTGTTACTTATAGATTTATCATTCATAGTTTACAAAAAGAAAGGTAAAGACTTTAATGATCCTGTACTCAAAGCTAGAGTTACAGTTCGAACATAGAACTAATACTCTTAGTTTTCGTTTGTCATAGTTCAAAGAGTGAATGTTACGTAATTGAAGGTATGAAGATTAAATAGGATGACAGGGTTGGCATAATATGTGGTAAATAATAAAGCCATGTCACTGATTACGATATTTACAATTGAAGGTATAAGCACTTAAAGACAATTTATTGAAGAGTAACAGAATACTAGAATATATCGAACCATGTCAAAATGTAATGTCACTCATTATTTACAAAAAAGGGTACAAAACTACGAGCAGTTACTGCTAAATTCAATGCAGAGTAACAGTTTGTATTAGAATATATCAAATTATGTCATAACATAATGGCATCTCACTCATTATTTACAAAAGAAGGTACAAAACTATAAGCAGTTACTGTTAAATTCAATGCAGAGTAACAGTTTGTATTAGAATATATCAAATTATGTCATAATGCCATCTCACTTAAATATTTACAAAAGAAGGTACAAAACTATAAGCAGTTACTGTTATAGAATATATCAAACTATGTCACAATGCCATGTCACTCATTATTTACAAAAAAAGGAGCAAAACTATGAGCAGTTAATGCTGAATTCAATGCAGAGTAACAGTTTGTAATAGAATATAACAAACTATGTCATAATGCCATGTCACTCATTATTTACAAAAAAAAGGTACAAAGCTATAGGCAGTTACTGCTAATTCAATGCAGAGTAACAGTTTGTATTAGAATGTATCAAATTATGTCATAATGCCATCTCACTCATTATTCACAAAAGAAGGTACAAAACTATAAGCAGTTACTGTTAAATTCAATGCAGAGTAACAGTTTGTATTAGAATATATCAAACTATGTCACAGTGCCATGTCACTCATTACTTAAAAAAAAGGTACAAAACTATGAGCAGTTACTGCTAAATTCAATGCAGAGTAACAGTTTGTATTAGAATGTATCAAATTATGTCACAATGCCATGTCACTCATTATTTACAAGAAAAAGGTACAAAGCTATAAGCAGTTACAGCTAAATTCAATGCAGAGTCACATATTGTATTAAAATATATCAAACCATGTCTTAAAGCCAAGTTGCTCATTATTTACAAAGATACGGTGTTAAAGACAAAATGTATTACAGAGTAAGTTTGAAGAAGAATATATCAAACAATACTATAGGAGTTTGTTAGAAATAGATTTCATAAAAAATAGATGGGGGCAATTAAAAACAGAAAGTTGGCTAGAAAATCAGTATAGACGCCAACTATACTAAATAATACTATAACTCCTGTCAGCCATAGGTAACAAGATTACATGGTATAGTTAAATAACACAATAGGTTAGAATAACAGTTTTTACATGTAATATATTACAATAACAAGGGGTCAGCCATAGTTCTCAAAGTTACAAGGCAAGGTACACTAAATTATTACAATAACCCCAATCAGTCATAGCTTACAAAAGTTACAAGATATGGGTAATTATTGACTGAAGGGACATAGAATTTAACAAATAATTCATCAATCATGTCAATTATGGCATACAGAGAGAATATATATACAGGCAGATGAGGACATAATCCAAGATAATATAACAGTTCATCAAGAATTGGAACAGTAAAAATTTGACTATATAATGTTCTCCTATATTCAATACTTGTCAATAAGGTGGCTCATGTATTTATATTTGAAACAGTTGTATGATGATTCCTTGATATCATTAGGAATACTGTTCCAGACATGTGGACCAGTAATTTTTATAGAACTACGTGCTAACTTTGAGTTCGTCCTCTCGAGAAAATAAGCCCCTCCACTTGATAGGCGAGTATTATATTCATGTACATCACTACAGTTTTTGAAATAGTTGTCAAAAACATCAGGCAACATACCATGTTTGAATTGGAACATTATCTTGGCAATTTCAAAATTGTACACATCATTAAGTTTGAGAATATGCATACGTTTGTAGATGGGACTAAGACGTTCTCTTATCTGCGAACCACTTATTAGCCTCATCACACGGTTTTGTAGCACACTGATCTTATGAAGATGGGACTTACATGCTGAGCCCCATGCCACAATTCCATAATGAAGATGTGAGTAGAATAATGCAAAATAAACAGATCTCAGTAACTTCTTTGGTACAAAATATTTCAATTTGGACATTGCACCTGTGGCTCTTGACAACTTGCATGCAAGTTTGTCAATATGGGCTCGCCAGGTCAGTTTATCATCTAGGGATACCCCAAGATAGCCAACGGATTCACAAGTACGCAATATTGAATCCCCAAGAATGAATTTAGGTATATAGTTGGAATTTCTGTTACAGTTAATTAATAGCACTTGCGTTTTGCTAGGGTTTACAGTTAGCTTGTTATTAGTAAGCCAAACAGATATATCAGTTAAATCGCCATTAAACTTTTGCTGTAAGTCTGACAGGTTAGCCGCAGAGGATGTAGTGCTGGTGTCGTCAGCAAAAAGTTTGACTTCAGAGCTAGAGACATTCACAATATCATTTATATGGATTAAAAAAAGGGTCGGTCCCAATACTGAACCCTGTGGGACTCCTACAGATACTTTAACACTCACTGATTCAGAACCAGCCAAGCTCACATATTGACTTCTGTCGTTCAAATAACTTGTGAATAATTTTTTGACAACGCCCCGAATTCCAATATGATTGAGTTTACTGATTAAAATATTATGATCAACTGTATCAAAAGCTTTTTTTAGATCCAAAAACACACTACAACCTACTAAACCATCATCTATAATGTTATAATAATGACTAACAATATCTAACAGAGCATGAGAAGTTGAATGTCCATTTCGGAAGCCAAACTGGCCACAATGCAATATAGAATGTTTGTCTAAAAATGATTTTAGTCTTTTCAGCAACAATTTCTCGAAACAGTAGATAGGCAAGATAAAATTGAGATGGGGCGATAATTGGATACATTTTCCTTATTCCCAGACTTATATACTGGTACCACCCTGGCCACTTTCAAGTGACTGGGGAAAATACCAAGAGTCATAGAAATGTTAAAAAGTTTGGACAAATTTGGACTGATAATACTGCTTAAAAGTTTAATAAAATAAATTGGTATGCAGTCGTGACCCTCAGCTTTACCACTTGCAAGCGCATTGATGACCATTTCAATTTCAGATGTCGTGGTCTCCTCAAGAAACATTGAAGATCTATTAGACTGTTCAAGATATTTTAGAAAATCAAGTTTATTGTTGTTAGAAAATGATGCTGCAAGCGAAGGTCCAACTTAAGCAAAATACCTATTAAACGTGTTACAAATATCTTTAGGGTTTTGGATTGATTTGTTGCGAGTACTATCAAATAGGGAGGGGGGAGTGATTTTTTAGACTTTCGATTAAATATAGAGGTAATAGTGTTCCATGTCATTTTTAGGTCATTTCTGTGATTATCAAAACGTTTGGCATAGTAGTTCGCTTTAGTTCTATATTTTATATGAGTTAGAGTGTTAGAGTATTTCTTATACTGACGCTTTTCAGGTTCTGTGCCATTCAAGAATAAAGTTTTATGAAGTTTATCTCGAATTTTCACAGATCGTAAAATCCCTGGTGTAAGCCAGGGTTTTTGCTTCAAGCGACTTTCTTTCCTACTTAATTTTTTTAGGGGGGCATGCTTGTCAATCAATGTCCTAATTTTGTTAATAAATTCATCGAAAATGGAGTTAAAGTTATCTGCACTAATCTCATGACCAGAAGATTCAGTACTGAAAACTATCTGAGCTTCATATAAAAACTGTTCATGATTAAACTGATTCATGTCGCGCTTCATTTCTGGAGCACATTTCGGGGGTGAGTGTTCGATCTCAATCCCACAAAAAATAGGATAGTGGTCTGTCAGGCTATCGATTAGTACCATTGGCTTCATATTTTTATCTATTATGTTGGTATAAATATGATCAAGAAGATTAGCAGAATTACTACTCACTCTGGTAGGAAGCGTGATCAATGGAATTGCGGCATGGGACCGAAGCATGTCAAGGTATTCCTTTGTAAAATTAGTCTTGGCAGTCAAATTAATATTTATGTCCCCAATGATAAGAAACTTTTTTCCGTCACTTGTTAGGTCATTAAGGCTGTTTTGTAGCTTGTACGAAAATTCATGATAATCAGAATTTGGGTGACGATATAGGATCGCAATAATTAAAGAATAGGGCTTTGTCGATTTAATGGAAATCTCAACCCAGAGTTCCTCACAACCAATGACACCTAATTTAAAGTCACTAACAAAATTTGGGGAGAAGTATGATTTAATATATAGGCCAACACCACCAGCATTAGTGTTAGAAGGTGTATGATAAAAATCATACCCTTCTATATCTATATTAGAAATTGGGTCGGATTTTAATTTAGTTTCCGAGATTGCTATAAATGATGGGGAAGAATCCAAGTCATGTATAAGTCTAAACAGCTCGTCAAAATTTTTTTGAATGGATCGGATGTTAATGTGAGCAATAACTAACGAATGATTTTTCAATCCAGTCAAGATATTAGATATATCTTCTCGATTCTTCATTGAGACACATTTTGAAACATTAGAAAATTCAAAATCATCTATATTCAAATTATTATCAAGCCCCTCCCTGTCACCGAAAACAGGGTAATCATGTAAAGATGACAGTGTATTACAGATTGTACAGCAATAATAAGATGCTACTTGAACTATGTTGGAATTAATTTGGGAAAAATAGCACTGAGAATGAATTCTAGAATTGCAGGTATCACAATCTATAAAATTGTCTGAACAAGGTTTTTTACACAATAAACAGAAATATAAAGACGTCATTTTATACTAGTTAAAAAAAAAAAAAAATAAGACCTACTATGGAATACAGTTGATCATACCAAGTTTCCAATATCGGCCAGCTTTCTGATTTGAATTCTAGGGGAATCCTTATTTTTCCTCATGAATATGTTTCCATTCGTTGTCCAGAGTCTCTCGTATTTATTAGTTTTTTTTGACATACGGGCGTTGTATAACAAGTTGTTTCTAAAGTCAGTCAAATTTTCATTAATGTAAAGAGTTTTCATACCGGTGATTCCGAAATTTCCAATGCTGGATGTGGTGCGCTTCTTGTCAACAAATTCATTCCGTTTATTCCTGTTAGTGAATCTAACTATGATAGGGGGGATTTTTGATTTATCCCGCCGAGGCAGTCTGTGTGAGATTGAAATATCAAGACGTTCTACATTGATGTTCAGAAGTTTGCCCATTTTTATTACGAGATCATCTGTATTTTCACCCTCTATATACGGGATGCCATGAAATTCTAAATTCTCTCTTCTTATATATTGTGCCAAGTCCTCGAAAACCTTATCGAATCTAAGCTGAAGAGTTGAAACTAATGCTCTGAGCGCGTTATTTGAAGCTGATAGCTCCTCTACTTTGGTATGAAGTTCCGCCAGGTAACTTTTTTGGATTTCAAATTCAGCGTTTATGAATTCCTGGCTCGCTTTAACGATTTGAACATCGCTTTGGAGAGTAGTATTTACCATACGAATGCTATTTAGATCTTCAACCAGCATGTCCACTTTGCCCATCAGTGTATCAGACTGCTGGAACATGACTTCTAGACGCTCCGTCAATTGCTGAGTGTTGTTAAGCACTGACTCATCTATTTGGGTTGAAATTTTTTTGTCATGCTCGTTGATGGACTCTTCAAGCAAATCTTTTAAACTTTCCTCCACAATTGCCTTGATCTCTATTTTTAGGTTTTTTGTTATTCTACTTTCCATGAGATCCAATTTACGTGTAAATTCTTCAAATTTCTTTTCCATGGTTTTAAAAAGTTGATAGCTCTAAGACTAACCAGTAAGTAATTTAGGGAACGTATCTGTGAATCTTAATCAAATAGCGAATAGTGTTAGTGTTAGTTAGTGTTAGTTAGCGAGTAGTGTTAATAATGTCTTGGTTATATGTTAAGTTCTACACCCAAGCTATTATAGAATAGGGGTTCAACTGAATACGCTTACACTTCTTTATTACGCCAGCATAACACACAACATAAGATGTCTACAGCAACAGAACATACTAGCGAGTGACGCAACTGCGACACGTTAGCACAAGACAGATAACACAATCAATTATTAGGGACGTTACTCGACAAGGCATTATTAGCCATCATCAACATCCCTCTTTGTTTAAGATAAATTTCATAAATTATTTTCAAATTCAGAATAGGAAATATTCACCTTTACCTATTACACAATTCATGACCACTACAATTAAGACACATAAATGAGCAATAATATTTAACACTCAAAATCAAGTTATAGTCACTACTGAGTCGCATAGTCTTTCATCCAAATAGGAGGTTTACGATTTCGACGAGGTCTGGTTGGAACATCATTCGAAATCAGAGGTCGAGAATTGTCATTGGCAACCGGAAGGTTGTTCGGCTTATAGTCAGACAAGAATGGAATACTTGGTTCATATCTTTCGATATTACAACTTTCATCAGGACGGATATGAACACGATTTCGTCTGTATGTAACACCATTATTCGATTTGACAATGTAAGATCGTGTAGCAATTCGTTTCACAATAGTTCCTCTATTCCATCCCTTCCGTTCTGGATGTTGAAAATATACAGCTTTGCCCAACTCAAGTTCTCGCATTGATCTTGTAGATTTGTCATAACTCTTCTTAACGCTGTGCTTTCGACGCAGGCGTTTCGAGTCATAGTTTTCGTTTGGTTTCATAACTGTCGGTATAATCGATCTGGTTGATCGACAAAATAGCATCTTTGACGGACTGCTGTTCAAATCTTGACGCGGCGTATTTCTTATTTCTAGAAGAACTAGAAATTGATCTTCATTCGTGTTTGCAGTCCTTTTCAGCATATTCTTGAAAATTTTCACGGACGATTCAGCTTTTCCATTCGCTTGTTGATGTCCAGGTGAAGAGGTAACATGCTGAATTCTCCAATCTCTCATGAATTTCTCGAATTCCGACGAGTTGAGATTTCTCCCACAATCTGAGATTAACATCTTTGGAATACCATGTCGAGCAAAATGGCGTTTCTACACTTCACTCGGAAATGATTTCTACCATTGCACGAATGACAAGTTTTTCCGTAGGCAGGACAAAAGGATATCCCGAACTTGTGTCTGCGTCCACAAAATTTGCATTCTTGGTATGCATTTGGAATATGCTTGTTTTTTGGAGCTCTGTTCGTATTTCGGTATTGTCTATTTTTAGTCAACAAAATTCGTTGCTCGCTTTCTGAAGATGCACGGATCTCCGTCGCTTGCTTTTCTGACATTTCAAATGTTTGGCAAATCTTTATGGCTTTTGACATATTGAGATCATTTTCCCGCAGCAAAATTTCTTGTAATTTACCGCTCACTGAAAATACGATTTTATCTCTGATCATTCGGTCTTTGTTTTCGAAATTACAGGAATCGGCTTTACTACGGAGTTCAACGAGAAATGTATCAAAATTGTCTTTGTACTGTATATTGAAAAAACGAAAAGTCTCCATCACCTCATTCTTCCGAAGATTACAGTGTTCAGCCATTTTCTGTAGTAGAACTTAGGGTCATTTTCGTCCTCTGTATCACTGTATACAAAGTGTTCGGCAGCTTCAATCATTTGAGCACCTGCGCAATATAAGATTATTGCCTTCTGTTCTTCCTTTGACTTGCTAGTAGAACCGCTGGCTAGCATGAAAATATCAATCTGTCTCTTCCATTTCTTAAATGTTTCTGATAAATTTCCATCATGCAGATCAAGAGTCGACGGTAAGCGAATTTCAGATACCGCTGCCACCATGTTAATAATGTCTTGGTTATATGTTAAGTTCTACACCCAAGCTATTATAGAATAAGGGTTCAACTAAATACGTCTACACTTCTTTATTACACCAGCATAACACACAACATAAGATGTCTACAGCAACAGAACATACTAGCGAGTGACGCAACTGCGACACGTTAGCACAAGACAGATAACACAATCAATTATTAGGGACGTTACTCGACAAGGCATTATTAGCCATCATCAACAAGTAGAGTGGTAGACTAACGCAAAATTAACAAAAGATAAAAAATAATTTTTAAAAAGAAGAGAAAAGTTGCAATTCCTGTGCGGCACACCTGGCATCGTCTCGCGGCACACCGGTGTGACCGGCGGCGGAGCCATGTTCTAGCCCACAATTTTATTTTCGAGTTTGGGGGCGTTTGTTCAGTTCAGGTATTTTTGTAATGCGAAGTCTTGTTCAAAACTTTGCTTCAGATTAACTAAAAAAGGGTAAGAGGTTATCGGGAATATAAAAAGGACAGATGGACACCGTGGCATTTTGTTGTAGCGCAGGGTTACAGTACCGTACTCTCTAGCCCACAATTTCGGTTACCCTAGCCTAGCCCTGTTACCGGTACCGTACCCAGTAGTGTAGCCCACAATTCTGGTTTTGCCAACCAATATTTCTGTTTAGCGATCAGCACATTTGGTTGTGGGGATTGGTTTTGATGTGAGAGAACATGTTATCAGTCTCGTAACTAAATTCATTAGGTTAACCTTGCTTAAAATCCTATAATCGCTGTACAGGAAGTCCTCGGGTTACGACGGTCGCGACTTACGGTACCTGTACCCTATTTCAAGGTTACGAACGCACACTCCATAACGTTTAAAAAAAAAGCTATATTGATTCCATTTTAGATATGTTACTCCCAAAGTATGTGGGGATTGGTTTTGATGTGAGAGAACATGTTATCAGTCTCGTAACTAAATTCATTAGGTTAACCTTGCTTAAAATCCTATAATCGCTGTACAGGAAGTCCTCGGGTTACGACGGTCGCGACTTACGGTACCGGTACCCTATTTCAAGGTTACGAACGCACACTCCATAACGTTTAAAAAAAAAGCTATATTGATTCCATTTTAGATATGTTACTCCCAAAGTATGTGAAACAAGATGGCGGACACTGGAACGTACCGTAATATATGTACCAGGTTAGGATTAGATCAGTGGTTCCCAAACTAGGGTCCGCGGACCTTTTGGGCTCCGCGAAGTACTTTCGGAAGGTCCGCGAAAGAAATCTGAAATCATAGTAAGATATTAAATTTGCAAATACACATTTGTCGCCTTTTATGCTCCACAATCACTGCTGGGTACACTGATTGTTCACTTTTTGTTTCGATCATGTTGTCCCATTGTGATGTCACAAAGCTGCGGATCTATGACATCACAGAGAAAGTTCAATTGCTGCCACTATAGGAACGCCGAGGTGTAGCTGACGCTGCGTTGCACGTCTGTTGGTATAGGATGGAGTTACAGTAGGTAGTTTATAAAGTATGCCAGTCCGCTTCTAAATGCTGTTTTACGCTTTTGTAGTGAACGGTAGGTAGCGTTAACCAACATTGGTTTTTCGCACCACCCTCCACCGGGAAATATCATTTTAAACTTTTTTAAATTTATGTTCACAGTAAGTGCATTCTCATTTTGGTGAATAATAAACTACTGACTGACCTTGAGTAGAGCGTAGTCAGAGAGGCACTACGTTTAGTTTTTAGCTTTCAAATTTAGCCTTTGACACATGGTAACGCCTTAATGGTATGCATATATTGCTCTTTAATATTGATTTCAAAATGTCTTTTAAAATTGTGATGTTAGTTTATTGTGATAAACACGGGTGAAGAGAAGGTTTTTCACTATACCGTACGGCGCATTTATTTTTTTGTTGTGATTTTTTAATGTATTATTTAATCGCATAGGGCCGCATATCATCAAATTGAAAGGGGTCCGTCATGGAATTTTTTTGAAAAAGTTCGGAACCACTGGATTAGACCATAATTCCAGGTACAAATACTACAGGAGTCACTTAGCTAGTCCCCGAACTCGTAATAGAACTAAATTTAAGGAAAATTAGAATAAAATTATATCCTAACCCTAAACTGGTACGATACCTACACAAACTGTTCCAGTGTCCGCCATCCTGGTGCACATACTACGGGAGCGCCCAATATTGTTGTTAGAAGGAAGGAATTTGAACCAAGTTTATTTTAATCAATTTCCAACTTATTCTCTTTTTTATTAAAAACGACAGTTAGACAGTAACGTACTTGTATATGAAAAGATTAATCGCATTGATTTTTAATTTTTCTCTCAATTTGTTAATATTTTTACAGATATAGTGCAGTTGTAATGGCATCTGCAGATGTCAACGAATCCAACTCTTTGGAATTACCAAATAAGGATTCCACATCTGACACTATTGAGACTAAAAATTGTAAAAGGCCAGAAACATCAAAAGTAAAAAGGAAAGAACCTCTCCCATGTCCATTATGCGGTAAACAATTTCCATTCAAATATAGGTTGGAGCGGCATGTGAAAACACACACTGCACAGAAACCTGGAGAAATAGGTGACTTGAAAGGATTTATCTGCGCATTTTGTGACAAACAATTCAAGCAAAGAGCTTTACTGAAACGCCACCTGAGAAAACATACTGGAGACAGGCAACATTCTTGTACTATGTGTGGAAAATCATTTTTTAATCTAGGTCAGTTGAAAGATCATATGATTGTTAAGCACACAGAAGAAAGACCATATACTTGTGAAGTTTGTGGAAAAAAATATGGAACTAAAAATCAGTTAAGACAACATACCGGTAAATGGACACACGAGAAAAAGGCTTTTTCTTGTGCGCACTGTGAGAAGAAATTTTGCAGAAAAAGTCGTTTAGATAGGCATATGGCTTTGCATGTTGATGGCAAACCCTACCCTTGCCCAATATGTGAGAAACGATTTAGCTGTAAAAACTACTTGAAAACTCACATCAATAGTTTACATTATGGTGAAAAGCCGTTCCGATGTGATGAATGTGGCAGATGTTTTTCACAACTATCTAATATGAAAGTGCATGCTGAAATACACATCATAGAAAAAGCACAAACGGTAAATCCAGCTACTCAGAGTAAATCCACCAACCCAGATCATATCAATGGTTCCATTGATCATTTTCCACCGCCACCACGTCCGATTATTATTTTGGTGCCAGTTTATTCTCCTGAATAGGGTCTGCTGTTCACACTTTTATTTCCATACTATACAGTTTATAAGGTATATGTCAGGGCTGCTCTATTCTAAAAAGCTAACTCTTAGTTTTGCAAAAGAAGAGACTTGTTAATCAATAGAAAAAAGCAGCAAAACTGCAAAATAATGAAGGCTGATTTATGTGTTAGATAGCACTAAGTAAATTTTCAGTAACATTGGGTTTTGTCCCCCATACATGGGCTACAAATTTCTATATTTACCTAAATTATATTAATATACAGACTTAAAAAAATGGCGGACCTATTTCTGAGTTTATCTATCACATGCGTATCGTTGTCTCCTGAATTATAACATCAGTCTGCATAACTGAAGTTATAAGTTGCAGTTACTAGCTGTCCATTCCCCTGTATGCAGTTAGAGGAGCATTGCTAGCATAGACCTATTCTCTTGACGTGTGTGTTTTAAAATAAATTGTTCTTTTTGCATTCTATTACAACAACATGTTTGTAATAATCTAGTATTGAATTAGTTCATTTATTTTCTCTGTTCGTGATATTGCACATCTCTGAACAATTATATCTATACTTGTGATACTATTTTTGTTAGATTATGAAACTGGTGCGCAAAATGTCTTCTGGCAATTCTATAAGTGTGGATTTAACTGCAAAGCTATTTCTTTCTTTCTATGTTAAAAAATACATAAATTACTGCTCTAAAATACTGCTGCAATCTGCGGACATAAAATGTGTGGTAAACTTCGCAATTATAATCAATTTTTGTACAAATTTATTATTGGAGGGAATGATTCTGATTTGTTTAAACAAACATTCTTGTAACACATATTTTTAATTTCGACTTTTCAATAAGTTTATTTCAACAAATTTCAAACTTGTTCTCTTTTATTAAAAACGACAGTAAAGTGCTTGTATGATATATGAAACGAATAATCTCATCAATTTGTTAATGTTTTCCATAGATATAGTATACTTGCAATGGCATCTGCAGATGCCAGCGGATCCAACTCTTTGGAATTACCAGATAATGATTCCACAGCTGACATTATTAGGACTAGAAAGTGTAAAAGGCCAAAAACATACAAAGTAAAAAGGAAAGAACCTCTTTCATGTACATTATGCGGTAAACAATTTCCATTCAAATATAGGTTGGAGCGGCATATGAAAACACACTCTGCAGAAAAACCTGAAAAAAAAATAGTTGACAAGAAAGGATTTGTCTGTGCATTTTGTGACAAACAATTCAAGCAAAGATCTTTACTGAAACGCCACCTGAGACAACATACTGGAGACAGGCAACATTCTTGTACTATGTGTGGAAAATCATATTTTAATCTAGGTCAGTTGAAAGATCATATGATTATTAAGCACACAGAAGAAAGACCATATACTTGTGAAGTTTGTGGGAAAAAATATGGAACTCAAAACCAGTTTAGACAGCATAAATTGACGCACGAGGAAAAAACTTTTTCATGCACGCACTGTGAAAAGAAATTTTGCAGAAAAAGTCTTCTAGATGGGCATATGGCTCTGCATGTCAATGGCAAACCTTACCCTTGCCCAATATGTGAAAAACGATTCAGCCGTAAAAGCTACTTGAAAACCCACATCAATAGTTTACATTATGGTGAAAAACCGTTTCGATGTGAGGGATGTGGCAGGTGTTTTTCACAACTATCCAATATGAGAGTGCATGCTGAAATACACATCATAGAGAATGCATACATGGTAAATCCATCAAAGTTAGCCACATAATTTTACTGATTTCATTTGTTTTCCACCTTCATTGCCGATTGTTATTTCGGTTGGTGGTAGCTTGTTCTGTTGAATATGGTATGCTCATTACACTTTTATTTATATACCATACAGTTTAGGATGTATCCATGTCAGGACTGCTCTATTCTTAAAAGCTAAGTATTAGGTTAGACTTAATACTCAATATAAAATAACGGCGAAACAATGCTGAAGTTCACATGGCTGATTTATGTGTTAGGCAGCAGTAAGTAAATTTTCAATACCATTTGGTTTTGTCCCCATACATCGGCCGAAAATGTCTATATTTGCCCAATCTCGATATACAGACTTAAGAATGGCTGACCCTTTTTTGAGTTTATATATCAAATGCACATTTTTGTCTCCTAAATTACAACACCAGTCTGGTAGATTTAAGAATTTTCCAAGAGCTGTTTGAAATTGATTTAACTGAAGTCACAAATTGGAGATACTAGCTGGATAACATTTACTTGACGAAATATTATAAGACTTGAATCCAGTTAAAGGGGAATTTTTAGCATGGACCTATTCTCTTGACCAGCGTGTGTTAATATAAATTATTCTTTTTGTAGTCTATTACAACCTGTCTGTCCTAATCTGGTATCAAATTAGTTTATTCATCTTTTCTGTTTGTGATATTGCGCATCTCTGAACAATTATATTTAGAATTGTAATACTATTTTTGTTGGTTTATTAAACTGGTATGCCGAAAGCAAATGTCTTCTTAATGTTTCTTCTTAGTAGCCAAAATTTACCTAGTAATTCAATATGTGCGAATCAAACTTCAATGTTATTTCTTCACTAAAAATAACCAAGACTAGTCTATATATTAAAGAGATAAGAATGTTTTTGTTAGCACTCGAGACCAGGTTAGGCCATAATTTTATTCCAATTTTTCTTATTGGCTAGTGACTCTCGTAGTATTTGTACTTCAATTATTGCCTAACCCTAACCTGCTACACATCTTTCTAGTATTCACAGAGAAAACTTTACGTGATATAATTTTAAGTTTGTTTAATTTTAGTACATTATGGAATCATTCTTGTCAACCGCGAAAAAAACTTTACCAAAGCATCTAGGCTACTTATATTATTGCAAGTTGTTTTTAATTTTACGCCATTACTTTTCGTTTTAGGCTACTTATATTATTGCAAGTTGTTTTTAATTTTACGCCATTACTATTCGTTTTATTCAATTCTAGTACATTATGGAATCATTTTGCTGACTTTAAATTAAAAAGACCAATAAAGTTACTTGAGCAATGTCAATGAGAGGATATCTCAGAACGGCTTTAGGAGTAGCTGTTGTGGGCACTATTGGGGTGAATTATCTCCAATACCTTGCACAGAGTAAGTTTAGCACCAGTTTTGCATTTGTAAGAAATCCTATTCTGAACTTTTCGCGGATTGCTATAAAAATCAACAGCTCGATTATCGCTATTGTTCAGGGAATTTAAAGGAGGAGGAATATTGTAAAGCATCTGTGGATCTAGCACGGAATGAAATAAGATGTGTGCAGCTTCTTGGAGGTGCACCTATTAAAGTCAAAAAAATCAACTTGAAGAAAGTAGAGCGAAATCCAACAGAAGTCAAGGTGTCAGACATGCTGGCTATTTGAAGAATTGAGTTCATTTTTTAAAATTATCGAATAAACAGCCCATAATATTTATTATATTTTATTCAGATGGAAATTCCGGTTAGTGGAAACACTCGTCGTGGAATAATCTACACAATGTCCACCAGACGGGATGAACAATCAAAGTAAGCTTTGTTTATATTGTCTTTATAACAAATATCAATATAATGCATATGCAATATATTGTCAATGTTTTTTTTTTCAGATGGAATCTTCAATACGCCGTGTTTTCAGTGAAACAAAAAACCGATCAGTGGACTGTGTGGCTTTACCCCAAAATAGACAGTTTGGAAGAAATTCCAGAAGCAGCCAGAGATCTTCCAGTTCAGTCTCCATAATTTCACCTCATATCGCCAATGTTCACACTCTACCGAGGAGCAGTACCTGAAGCGTGGAAGTAATATTGAAGAGTTGATAACAATAGGCCTTCTTACTTTTGAGTTATAGGAGGTTTGATATTCGTGGAAATGGTGGCCTTTTCGGTATGACAATTGCAAAAAAACATTGCTATTACTATCTCTGTCAAATACCCAAGATTAGGTGCACGAATTAAGAGGCGGGGAGTTCGTTGCAACCTTTCATTACCTATTTATTTATTATCAACTTTATAAATTCTTGCTGACAACTTACATTTTACATGTGTCTATTGTTTTCTCTCATACATGGTTTTCCATCTGCTCAGAAGTGCTTACGAGCTTATTGAAGTTGTGGTCTTGTTCTATTTCATCATGGTCAGGGTGCCATAAACTTGAGAGTAATCTTTCCATGCATAATCCATATACAGAATGAGATGGTATAAGACGCTTGTTTTGCTAAAATATGAAAAAACAGTCACAATATATATATTATAATTGCACAAGCCCACTGTTTTCACCTATTCTTCCTATACTTGAAATTATTTTTCAGAATGAAATAAAAGCAATCTTGGTGACCTCTGCTGTGGACTAGACTAGTATTAGCAACTTTTCGTCTAAATTAATATTTCCGACCATTGCAACCGTTCCCCAGTAAATCCTCCACTGAATAGGGTGATTATGTGAATACAATCTGAGAATGCAGTTAAAGTTAGTAGTGTAGATTAGAAGTTCAGGGATAATTCATAGTAAATTTTATACTCTAAGTGTGGGAAACCTCAAAAGGTACACAGCGCTCTAGAAGTATGTGTACCAATATGGAGGCAACTAATGGTGTTTGCCTATTTTACATCAAGTTGTGTGAAGGGACTGAAACCTATGAACAGGGGTTATATTCACTTAGCTAACACAGACAGTCACTGAACTCGTAATAGAACTAAAATAAGAAAAATCCGCCGAAAAAATATGCCTTAACCTGGTACACGGTATTACGGGAGTAACGAGATACACTGTGCTTTATTAGGATACGGAAACTGTAAATAAGTGAAGCCATTAAACTGTACCCCCCAGCGAATTAAAGCACAGTCATACATGTTAGCAGCCTGAACTGATGCCGAGTGATGATTTGCTCTGATCTTCCTCAAACATTCAATTGCCATCTGTTCGCCTTCGTCCATACGTTGGTTTACTTGACAATGAAGAACTGAATTTCATATCGATTGTAAAATGATACTCACATAAGGTGGCAATTATACAGGAGTACGCGGCGCAATTGAATAGCTTCTTGACAATAACAAAATTGGTTTGATCTAAACTAGGCTGTTGGGCATGTAACGTTATGGCATAAATGTGCCCAAGTATACTGCTACAGAAACTTACGCACATACAGATACTAATTTAAAACTGTTCCGCGGGCATTCAAACTGCACTTCTCCGCGCTGCACGCCATTCTTTACGTAACATCAATAAAATTCAGTATACCTATTATTATATTTTTGAGATCCAAACAGTGAAGGTATAGGTGCATCTTGAAGAAGATATGGGTTTTCAGGTGTACAACTGATATGATGTCTGAAATCAGTACTTCGTACCTTGTAAGCCGATCTTCTTGAACAAATATCTGCTATTATATTTTTCAAAATAGTCTAAAAGTAGAAAAGTCAAGTTTTTTCCAAAGAGTAAATAAAAAAAAAAACGAATGAACACAGAAAATAAGAGGAGGAAAATGATAACAACAGTTTTACTGGGTAAGGAAATTTGCAGGAAACCAAAGCTGGTTATTGAGCAGCGACACCTAAGGTTCAAATATCTAATTTGAAATATTGGAGTTGGGAAACTACTGTTTTTTGGCAGTGAGTACTGTACGAATCATTAATATAACATCGCTTAATAGAGGTAGAAAGATGGATGAAAGGATTGCTTAATTCTCAAACCAAGAAATATTAGTGAAATTCTGCTATATTATGTTGGTAAAACAAAAATGAGATAGTTTCCTGTCGATAAGGCATAAATTCTGACGCTCTCGTCGTATGTGTACCAGGTTAGGGTTTGGCCATAATTTTATTCCACCTTTCCTTATTTTAGTTCCCGTACGAGTTCGAGGACTAGCCAAGTGACTCCCGTAGAATTTAGACTTGAAATTATGGCCTAACACTAACCTGGTACACATAATATGTTCGGTGTCCGCCATCTTGGTTCACATACTACGGGAATATCTAAATTCTAACTGAAATTAATTACCAATCTTACATAAATAGCGTTTATTACAAGTTGGGAAACTTCATCGGAAAAATCATCAAGGCCTTTTTCCCAAGTTATAACAGCAACTCGACCATTCATTTCCAACATTCCAGGTATTTCTAAAGACCTTGAGCAAAACACAATTTGCTTTGGAATTTCTTTTTGTTTTGACATCGATTTGTTACGACTTAACATCTGTTTATTTTCCTTCTGGATATTTCTTGCTGGCGGTAGGCTGGCTGGAACAGCTTGTACAAAACGATTCTGAATAAAATATATTTGGTATGAGACCTTAGCGATGGTGTGATCCAAGTGGTTTAAATAGAGTTAGGAACTGAATTTTATGAATGTCTTTGCGATTGAACTCATGCCAAAGTGGCACCATATATTCCTATGAAGTAAGAGCTATTAGGACATGTAATAGAAGTAGATTTACTTTGTTGCCGAAGAACTACAAACAATTTTTCTATAAACTTTTGAGACTCATATCGATAATCAATCATTTTAATCAATGTTGTCAATGTCAAGATATACTATTTGAAAAAAACATTTTAGCAGGTGTATCCTAAGAATAATTTTCACATAAATTGCAGTCAGATTTTTTACTATTAAATTCTGCCTAAAAATAAATACCAATGAATTCCCAGTAGCCTATGTTAATAATCAAAACAGTTTTAATTCTTCATATGATGTTTTTGTTCTGTAATAACCTAAATACGCAGGTTATTATAGAAACACTTACATCAAACTTTCTTTTGATAGCTTGCATTTTTCTTTTATTTTTCTTAGCTTTTGTTGACAGAGTTGTTGATGTGTCTTTAACACCTTAGAAGCATAACATAATATTGATAAATAATCAAAAGGGCCAGGTATTTTCAAGTAATAAATCTTGTTCTGACTAGAATTATTAAACCTGTAACTGATCCCACAGCATGACACTTTGTTAGCACAGCTAGTAAGAATTCATTATGTAAATGAGTTGTCTCCTTTGTCAGCATCTGACGAGCTTCAATGTCAAATTCTTCTTTTGATATCTGTTGCTTGAACCAGGCTTTCATGTTCGCCCAGTATCTAGATAGGATAGGACAATTAATTTATCACCACTTGCTGACTTAGTCTATATCAAGAAAAATTAGATGAGTAAAACACTCACATTTTCTCATTTCCTTGAATTGCTAAAGCATCTGTTAACCGCCTTTTGCAAGAAATCAAATTTTCCCTGCACTCATCAGGTGTCATCATTAATTTTACTAACACTCTAACAGAACAAGAAATCACCCACAAGAAAAAAATTACAATAGACTACTACCTGGAAAGGATGAAAGATGTTTGGTAAAGACAGAAAGAATAATAAAAACCATTAATTTCAAGCATTCTTACAATTACAATAATCTACAGGATGACATGACAGGTCTGCTCACATTCTGACAATGCTGCAATGCCCACAGCAGTACAGTAAAACACACTTCGAACAATGCCAGATTCCCAATGATACCAACCATAGTCTGATAGTCCATAGGAACATACCAAGGGCAGAAGGGTAGGCTATGTGATTACATATTTCCGCGAACCTAGCTTTGTGAAAGTGCTCCTATTTTTCAAACTTTGACCCCAGAAAGTCTACTTCCTTGTTGGACACGTAGTGGACATAACGATCGTTTCAATATTATGTTGTTGTTGGACACGTAGTGGACATAACGATCGTTTCAATATTATGTTGTTGTTGTTCTTGTTCTTGTTCTTGTTGTTCTTTGACACGTTTTTAAAAAGTCGCTTTTCTCTTCGAATACTGGACCAATTGCTTTGAAATTTTTAGTGGTTAAAGATAAAAATTTTCTCCAGAAGGCTATTACTTTTTTTTTCGCTATGACGTCATCAAAATTATGTGACTCTACGTGTCCATATATTTGAGCATAGCTCTCTTGTTGTTGTTGTTCTTGTTCTTGTTCTTGTTCTTTGACACGTTTTTAAAAAGTCGCTTTTCTCTTCGAATACTGGACCAATTGCTTTGAAATTTTCAGTGGTGAAAGATTAATTTTTTCGCTAGAAGGCTATTACTTTTGTTTATTCTTAAATTTCATATGAATCCTATGAGATATGATATTTCATACAAAATTTCGCGGTATTTATTTTTACTCATGGGAACACTGTTTTACACTCATTCAAGCGGTTTCGCGATCGATTGTCTTGCTCAGTACTACAGCTACTGTAGGTCGGTACTGGTAAGTTGCCATACCGGTACTGTAACGCAGTGAAATTGACTTATTCCTTCCGCGGTATTACTAATGCTGCAATGCAAGTTTTATAGCCTATCGTATGCGGAACGGAATATCAGACCTACAGGTTCGGTATCGGTACTGGTAGCTCAGTACGTAAGTACGATACTGGTACTGGTGCCGGTACCGGTGTCTTACCACAATGAAATCACCGTAACTTATTCTTTCACGGTCCTACCAGTGCAGTAATGCAAGCGTTGTAGCACTTGTAGCCTACTATATTTGTTTATTTTGATGAGAGTCTACTGGAAACAACATAAAATTTGAAAGGGAAGAATTGTTCTGTGATCAATTATCTGTCCTAAAGTGTGAACAACATAAAATTTGCAAGGGAACAACTGTTCTGTGATCAATTACCGTATATGGCCTACAGTGTACAGGTAAGATGCTGGCTGACTGCTAACCGGTACTGGTAGCTCAGTACGTAAGTACGATACTGGTGCCGGTACCGGTGTCTTACCACAATGAAATTACCGTAACTTATTCTTTCACGGTCCTACCAGTGCAGTAATGCAAGCGTTGTAGCACTTGTAGCCTACTATATTTGTTTATTTTGATGAGAGTCTACTGAAAACAACATAAAATTTGAAAGGGAAGAATTGTTCTGTGATCAATTATCTGTCCTAAAGTGTAAACAACATAAAATTTGCAAGGGAACAACTGTTCTGTGATCAATTACCGTATATGGCCTACAGTGTACAGGTAAGATGCTGCCTGACTGCTAACTCAGTACCGCTTGACACGTTTTTAAAAAGTCGCTTTTCTTTTCGAATACTGGACCAATTGCTTTGAAATTTTTAGTGGTTAAAGATAAAAATTTTCTCCAGAAGGCTATTACTTTTTTTTTCGCTATGACGTCATCAAAATTATGTGACTCTACGTGTCCATATATTTGAGCATAGCTCTCTTGTTTGATCATATTTCCAGTGACCCCATAGACCTCCAGTGACCATATTTCATTGATTTCTTTAGAAGTAAAATTAAAAAAAATATATATATATATATATGTTAATTTCCGTACCTTGATAACATATTCATAATCGGTTAGCATGTATGTATGTTTATTCGTCTCGTAATAAGGATAAATAAATGAACAATTATTATTATTTAAGACGGGATGCAAGCACAAGACCGTACTGGCCTAAAACACAAATGTTTCATGAGCGAACAGTCAAATGAACTTTGGTGTGGCCAATTTGCTGTGAAAGTTCATTTTCTGACGTCTCAAAGTATCAGCAATGTCATTACATACCGCTTTGTATTTGAGCATATCCTTGGGTCGCGAGGTTTTATATTAAAATTATTTTTTTTCAATTTTGGTTTCTTGGGAACCACCTACTTGGAGCCTATATATTTACATCGTGAGGTAGCTACACTTAGGCACAATTCGAAATCAAAACATGGTCTCAATTAGAAAATATATCGAGGTCAAAGCGGTGCGGCAAACCGGACGTGAGGCCGTGGTTCGCCATATGATTAAGCCGTCTTGTCGTCCTTTTCTTTTCCCGGAATAAATATGTAAATCCTATTTTATCAAGCGATAATAGTACTTTGATTGAATAAGTAATAAATGTCTTTGTCAATTGTCATCGACTATTCTAACGTAAAAAAAAGAGAAATGCACCAAATATGAACGCATGGGTCGTGTCGGCACCGTTGCTAAGACCGGAAAACACTGAGTTTGATAAAAAGATTATTCAACAACAACAAGAATTTAGTGAAACGATCAATAAGTCAATTTCGTTCCCGAACAGCAAAATTCTCTTCGCTAGTATTTGAATCTATCACTTCATTTCAAAAGGTTATGCTTGTTAAAGGTATCATTGTTGGAAATCATGTTTTTAAAAGTTGGTAACGATATGGAAGGTTGGGTGTATAAGCCACGGTTAGTAACTTTGAATCTTGCATCTTACCGCATGCGTTTAATAGTCTGTCGGTATATGCAATTAATTTAGCTATGTACCCGTAGCGTGGCGCACTTTGAATCTATTTTTCTCGAAAACTGATCGTACGCCTTTTAGGCCGGTGCGACTAAAGTATGGATCAAGTTCTGCTTTATTTATTGCCCACACTCAAAACCAGTATATACCGGTATTGCTTTACAATCGCTGCGTCTTATAGCCCGATGCGCCTCATTTATGGATAAAAACCCAATCTGAGCAATTTATTGACAATGCGCATTACGATACGATGGCCCGTAAAATACGGCAATGCGATTGGCCAACAGTGATTTTTAAAAGTGTGAAGGAAGACCGAGGATTGTGTTTGAAAATCTATGATCCGAGGATTAAGTAAATAGACAGTTTGAGGACACTGGAATTAAATATTCATTTTTGAAAAATTTCTCATTTTCAATATATTTATAGTGTGCCTCACTCGTTTTCCGTGAGTAGCTGTGCTTATAATGCACGAACCAAAGTGACTTTGGCACGAACATCAAACACCATAATGAATTTCCTGTAGCTAGCCGATGAAAGCTACTGTTTTAATCGAGTTCATGATATCAACATGCGTCATTTTAGCGGAAAATGATGTAATTTTATGAGATTACTCGTGCAAGTGTTATTCCGTCATTGTGAGTGCTCGGCGTATTATCATCAATACCTATTACGACACTATTTCCGCTATGACTGCTAAACACCGTCCACATCTATTGACGCAAAGTAAAATATACGAAGGGAATCGAGGCTCAGAAAGGATGGGTTATTGTTTACAGTTGAGACGTGAGAGGTACAATGAATTTGAACATTCTGACATTGGCACAGAAATCAAGTTTTCTGCTTTTTAAAAGTTAGCCGAGGGTCAAAATCTTTGTGAAATCGTCGAAATCTACATATATACTCTGTTAATTGACGACCAGCGCTTGATAACAGTAAATAAATAAACTGGTATCTTAAAACTGCTGGCCTCTATTACGTTAGAAATATTATAATAAGCGGAAAATTACAACCTTACTCACGAAAGAGGGACCTCATGAAGTATGCGCACCAAGATGGCGCACATTCTGAATTCAGGTTGTGTACCAGGTTAGGGTTCAGGTTATGCGACATCTTGGTGCGCATACTTCAGGAGCACCCGAGCGAGTAGAGATTTAATTTCAATATAACATAGCTCTGAAACTGGTGGTGGAAAAGTGTAACGACTAACCTGCAGCTGCGCTCATGGACGGGAAGACTCTTTGATCTAAATTGTGCTGTGTGTAATTTTCTTCGAGATCTACCCGAAACTTAAACTACGCCTGCTGTTCTATTAAGATATTTATATAATTATGTTAGGGTAGTGTTTTTCAAATGTTCATATATAATAAAATCACTTTAAGACAGCTTAGTGGTTATTGCAATTGACCTTAAAACAGAGTTTCCCGAACTGGGGTCCGCGGACCGCTGGGGGTCCGTGATGACTACACAGGGGATCCGCAGCGATATTAAGAGTCTGTAAAACATACATTTAAACGTATATCCACTGTTACATCGACGTTCGTAAACGAGATAAAGTCAAAAGTTCACACAATCGCAAATCTTAATTGTTATGTTCTTAACAATGGGATTGAAAAAGTAGGTGTAACTGTAGATGATACTTGCTTTCAGCGTCTGCGATACCATCGTCACAGAGCTATACCGTCGGTAATAATTGACTGTAAGCGTTATTGAGTTATCACCATTCGAGAACTTGGGCTACTTTGCCATGGTCTTTTGAGCCCCGTTGTTGCAAGAAATAGGCGTGAAACCCAGTTAAGTTGATTGTGTGAGACTATACTAGTTTTACACAATTAAATTAGTTCCATGTGTTTAATTGGTACCAACGGACCGGATATCAGGGGTGGAAATTTTATTTATCATAATTTTATCGAATTGCCGTTAGCCTATAGCATACCAATGTTTAACTTTAGTATGTATTGATTCAGACTTTCATGAGTTTTATTTCGTCAAAGGAGATGTTAAAGCAAAGTATATAGAAACTACGAGTTTGCTTGTCACAAATTGATCCTTCCCAATAATGTCGTTTGTGTTGTTGTGTTCTAAATCTGAATAAACTATTATCCTTCCTCATTGGTTAGGCACATAAACTGATACGACATAGGATGGGGGTCCGTAACAAATAAGATTCACAAACAGGGGTTCGCGGCTCAAAACGTTTGGGAACTCTGCCTTAGAACATCGGAGATTGGGCACATTACGCATAGTCCAGCCGTATGAGACTCGTGTAGTCGGGTATTTCGTCGCGATATGTTGTTTTGTCATTTGTGATTTCCTCTGTGATTCCTTCTGTACAACTGACAATAAATCATTTAATAATAATATACATCAAAATCAGATACGATTTATTGGACACGAAATGTACCTATGGACGTTAGCGGTCAGAGTGCGAAGTTCTAAGGACTGGTCCACTGAGCTTAATGTTGAACCAGACAGTAAATTTTTAATATCTCTGAAGAAATTCTTCAAATTGGATTGGTTTTTGGGTGCTCCTGGAGTATGCGCACCAAGATGTTGCATAACCTGAACCTGGTACACAACCTGAGTTCAGGTTGTGCGCCATCTTGGTGCGCATACTTCAGGACGTCCGATTTTTGAATACTTCGTATTTTCTCGCACAGTATTGTTACGTCATAAATATAGAAGACGCTGGCAATTTTCTAAGCGACTTTAGCAAGGTAAAATTAGAGATGTTCTGGTGTATCGGTATCGGTAATATCGGCCATTTTTTCGGTATCGGCCATTTGTCGGTATCGGTTAGATTAGGGCCGATATTTCCGATATATTTACCTTTTTGATATGGTCGAGAATGTAAATCATACAGTGGAATTGGAGTCCTTATTAACGACACATGCACTTTGGCACGGCTATAAATTCTAGCTGTATGTTGTCAAGTACAACTGTCATTTCGTCCGCCGACATCGATAAACTAAATTCCGACACAATTATCCCTCTACGCAGGTATTACTTTTAATTTTGTTTACCTACACAATTTCATTGTAGATATTTTGCCTTGACCGCCTATGGACTGTCTCAAAATATATAATATCAATTGTAAAATATTATTAAATAGTAAAGTAAAACAACATCCGCGACGGTTATAGGTAGGCCTGCTTCTTGTCGGTGCTGATTAATATTGTTTCATGTTGGCTTTGATTTATTGCGGCGACGATTACGATTAACCACAAAATAAAATATTCGTAAAATGTCTTCAATTGGAACGTAAGACGGCGGCGCTAGAATGTGTGGGCGATATTCGATATTCTTTTAAACACGAATAACGATATTCGAAGGTCGCGATATTAACATTAAGTTCGAATTAGACATCCCGGCTAATTGAATTGAACACCGAGATTATTGCGCCACTGTACAATGAATCTTAATCAGTTAAAGCATCTGGATACCAAACATCAATTTCATATTATGTGATATATCTCTTTTATTCGATCTGAAATAATGTGTACTATGAACAACGTTCAAAGACCATCGTTTTAACCCATCTACCCTACACAGCACACCTAATTAAGTAATAATTACTTATATCGGTATCGGTAGTATCGGCCTTTTTGTATTATCGGCGATTTTAGCTGGTATCGGATCGGTATCGCGACAAAAGTGGTATCGGTACATTTCTAGGTAAAATCACGGATGTACATGTGGCAATATTCGAAGTTATTGTTTTGCCTTCGTCTTAAAGCTATTCCCATTTGTATACAGACATAAAATTATAGATTGCAATCTTTATTATATATTATCATATATTTTAATTGCCTTCCCTGTGATCTTAAATGTTAAACAAAATGCACAATAGTAAAAGGGGTGCGTGCGGTGGGGAACGATGCTCGCGTTTATGGTGTATGTAACGTATTGAGCTAACGGATTTTTTATATAAGGATTCATAACACAACCGATACTTTCAATTATTAATTATGCTACCAATGCCCCATTTGCTAAGTAAACGAACTTATCTCTTTATGGGTATGCTGGCTGTCTCAATTGCCTTGGTATGTCTCGTAAGTACATACATACGAATTGCGAAACAACTTTGTCTCTGATAACGAAAGTAATTGCACAATAATAGGCAGCGAACTGTATTTGCAGACTGATAAAAGACTTTCAGTAATAACTGAATTTTCGGAAATAATAATATGATAGCGCGTGTGTGTTATGGATGGGCACAAGTGTTAAATCCAAACGTGATCAAGGCCTGACTATGTTCGGTGCCACTTTGCGATCTCAGCGTCATAAAGCTACTTTGGTTCGTCATCACGATCAACAATTGGTACCTATTTTTAAAAGAGGGGGGGTTCCGAAATTTGTAATTGGCAAGTTGAAGTTAGACCGTAACAGCTAGCGAGTCCGGAAAACGTGGTATTTCAAGAGTCTTCAGGGTCTAAGAAGCGTTAATGGCTACGGAAAATTGCTGTTTAATACAGAAAAATGATTATTTTTACTTATCAAAGAAGGGGTTCTCGACTTGCAACCCCCATCGACTTGGGTACGCTGCTGTTTGGAGGTAACGAGTTTGGGAAACACTGGTATAGATGTTTTCATGGTCATATAGAAACCTGAACTGTGCCCATTTGGTATGCGATGTCAGCGGTTGTGTGATCTCAGTGATCTTAGTATTAACCTAAGCCAAACTCAACGATAGCAGACTGAGGAACTGAATTCTATGAGCGGTGGAACCTCCTGCAGTATGCGCACTAAGAGGGCGCACAACCTGAACTCAGGTTGTGTACCCGGTTAGGGTTCAGGTTGTGCGACATCTTGGGGCGCATTCTTCAGGAGTACCGAGCGATGATCTCACCTCATAAAGACATTCTCATCGAATTCATGCTTTGGTTAATATTAAAATCACTGAGATTGCATACCGAAGTGGAACCCCGTATTCTTTACGTATTTTTAATATTGCATTGAATAAACTCGCCGCCCGATTTTATGATCGACGATATATATAGATAAACCAGATGGCCATAAGTGCAAATTAGATTCTGTTCGTTAATTGTATATCAGCATTCGGTCTTGTATTTCTGTGATGTCACGCTTTGATGCGCTCGAAAATACGAACAGACTTGAGTATGAGGAAGTTTAACAGCGAACAAATGAACGTGAATGACTGCACGTTGCAGAGATGCAAAATTTCAATATCAGATATTACAAAAAAGCAGAGAAGTTTCACAAAGATAGTAAAGTTTATAGTAAAAGTTTAAAATTATGTGGGTTGTTGCGATATTATTGAGAGATAAATCTAGTTTAGGGTTGCAGAAAGCCCCCGCGAAAATCTCAATCTCACATTTTGGCATTAGTGGCGGGCTTTCAACAAAATATGCAAAGATTTTCGGATGAAATTTCGTGTTATCATTTTAAAACAGCCTCTGCTGTATAGTTTGATATTAGACACCTTTGCTAGTAAATTACTGTGCGACAAAGCTTGAAACTGATTTACAACTACGTAATTTTTATACCTAGTAATATTTTACCTTTGTAAACCAATAAAAGCCGTTGTTCAATAGGTTTCCATATGCTATATCTATATTCTACTTTCGGCGCTTCAGTACATTTGACATTTATATATGTAAGCATATATTGTTTTCTTGGTTTGAAAAAATGAAATGAACTCTCTCTCCTTCTCTAGTAGGCTACTCAGCATTAGGTTCTTTCAAAAAACACCAGAACTAACGTATTTTCTCAAGAACAGTTCACGATACGTTTTATGACATCATAATGATGTAAGCTTAACAAAAAAAAATGAAAAACAATCGAGATTATTTTGGGAATTTTTCACAAAAAAATTGTCAATCAAAATAAACTGACACAATTCACAATTGTCACATAAATAAGCATAATAATTTTATTGTTCCAATTTCCAAGAATTTAGCAGCTTTTTCATGTCAATCCCTGTATTTTGTTTTGTTTATATCAGTCCAACTTCTAGCCATATATATAATCATTCTTAGTTAATTCTTTCCAAGTAGACCATGCCTCAAGACAGCTGCTGCAGCGATCAAGATGTAGGAAGTATTGCCAAAGATGAGAACAATAATAAAAGCAGAGAAAAGGTTTTTAAAAAAGCTCGTCGAAAGATTAAAATGTTGTTTTATTGGCAAACCTTCGGACTTGTTCTTGGTTTATCATCCGTACTTTCTGTACAGATGTTGCAAACAAGTATTAACATCAAAAATCAAGTAGGTAAGATCAACTAACTATTCTAACGCTCTAATCAGTGGTTCTCAACCTTTTTTCTTTCGATGCCCATTTTCGTTGCCCAAAAATTCTTGTGGCCGATTAACATTTTGCTGCATATGAAAAACTACGAGAAAAACAAAATCTTATTGCACTTTAATATTTAGAACGAAAATCATTTATCAGTAGCGAACAACAGCACCATCAATTATTGGTACTACCATTGAAATTAACGATAGAGACACAAATGAAACTAGCAACTTTAATTCGGTCTGTGGTCCACCTCAAAATCTTTTTGTGGCCCAGCAGTGAGCCATGGCCCGCTGGTTGAGAACTGGTGCTCTAAGTGATGTCGTTTTGAACCGTCCAATTCTAACGTGTATTTTAAACCTAAGGGACAGAAATAGGATAGAAAAAATGGCTGCTATATACATATATATATATATACTTTGCAATGTTTAAGCTGTGGAACATTTTCTAATGACCTGTCACACATATAGAAATAGAAGACAATACTTAAGATGAAATGCCACGAATATGAACTATTTTTAGCCACCCTCGCATTTTTCTACTGGGCCGACAGGATTTTGTAAAGTCCATCAAAAGAGTAGTACTGTAGGCATATCAAAAATTGGTTTTAAATTGTCTGGCGCAAAAGGCTTAAATTGTTGAAAACGCGGAATGCGCGGACGGTTATGTGCGAGAAGATTGCTGGGATCCTCGCCGCCCTAGGGTGGTTCACGTAACCGCTGGTCGGCTAGGACTTCTCCACCATCAAATCCATGTTCCCGAAAACAAATAACTAACTAATTCCATACCCGACATGGAATGGTAACTGGACGATTCTCGATAATACAATAATACAATGTCGTCCAATGTTTAGTATAAAATTTGAAAATGTTCGCATGCTGTGTTCGGATACCATCAATTAATTATGCTCCATTTGATCACGCTTCCGTCTATGAATGATCATAAAATAATTATATCAATCTCGATCCCGAAGTAAACTGCGAAACCATTCTGACTTTCGTCTCTGAGTCGAATTGGGCATCGGAAATCTGGAACATTAAAGATGTTGTGTCAAGCTAGCATGGAGATACTGAGGGTTTATTATACTCTCAGCCATATTTGTATGAATAAAAATTTCAGCCAATATCTCAAAAAGTAAGGAAGTCGTGGAATTAGGAATAGTATGGAGAGTTCACAGAAGTATCAATTTCAACCAATTTGAGTGGTTCGCCATATGGTCAAGCCGTCTTATCGGCTTTTCTCTCTCCCCGGATAAATATGTAAATCCTATCCTATATTCTAGTGCTAATGTTTTATGCTTTTATTTTTAGGTTCTATATCCGTGACAGCCGGCTTCTTGACGTCGATATTTTTCTGCTTATTTGTTTGTCCAACTTTACTCCACACGATTGGTCCCACAGCGAGTCTCATTTTATCAGAAGCATGCTACCTGATATATTGCCTGTCAAATTTTTACCCAGGTACGTGGGACAAATGAATTAATTGATCAAATATTTCAAACGGTGCTTCTATTTGTACAAGTTAGTGATGCCCGCTCGGTACTCCTGCAGTATGCGAACCAAGATGGCGGACACCGGAGCTTAGTATGTGTACCAGGTTAGGCCATAATTTAAGGTACAAATACTACGGGAGTTTTACGTCCAATTTTCCTTATTTTAGTTCTATTACGAGTTCGGGGACTAGCCAAGTGACTCGCGTAGTATTTATATCTGATATTATAGCCTAACCCTAACCTGGTACACATATTAAGGGAGTACCCGAATTTCGAGTCATCGCGTATAATTTAAGTAATTATTTGCCTCAAGACGCTTTGTATACCATGTTCAGACTAAAATTGGTACCTCAGAATCGGTTTAAAAATGTGAGTATGCGATAAAAAAATAAGATTATGGATAATAAGTTTATAAATAATTTTTATCGTACAGAAACATACTGAATGATTCTATCAATGTTTAGAATATACATTCAAAATTACGTTCGTTCAGTTGCTATCCATTTTCCAAAACATTTGAGGCAATCGCCCGAATCGAGGCATCTGAGCTAAATGACTCATTTGGAATTCATACTCGGCTAACTACCTAAATTTCATGGCCTAAAAATTTCGTTCGAATCTGTGGAATAGAGAAGTAATCCGGCGAGATACAATATAGAGCAGGGGTCGGGAACCTTTTTGGTCAAGAGAGCCCTAAAATATAAATATTTTCAATTGCATTACCGTGCGAGCCATATAGCATTTCTTCACTTAATCAGGCCTGAAATTTTTACTCAAAAATCAACACATACAATGTCAATATACATTTAACGTGACTTCTGATGCTGCATGTTGTCGCTGCGGGCCTTGAACGGTTGCTCACATGCAGCCCAAGTTGAAATCTACGATACTCATCCCCCTTTTTCGTTTAGGCATCTCCGTAGTATTTTAAAACTCTATCGCTTTGTGATGTCACAATATATTCTACAGAATCCCCATGTTTTGTCACAATGCCTGTCTGGTAATTCTTTCAAATAACGTAGACATGCGCTGGCCCGCTTTGTCAAACGTATTGGAAATTTTTTGCCAAATTTGGCCATAAAATAGTTTTAAGTCTAGTAACAATAGTAAGCTTAATCTTAGAATAATCGATTTTTCTGGGAGCCATATGCCGTCACCAAAAGAGCCATATATGGCTCGCGAGCCATGGGTTCCCGACCCCTGATATAGAGCATCGATTATTGTTTTATTAAAAAAATAGAAAAATCACTAGCTTGTTGTAGCAATAAGTGTTGTCGAAAACATGACAAAATCCTAGTTTGATTTTCGAAATAACGTAGGATTAACTTGAGATGAAGAATTTCATCTCATAGCGACAATGATGACTTGTATTTACCTGTTACTCGTAAGTTAAATGTCGTTTAGGAAATCTGTTATTTTTAACTCGGAAGTATAGTAACTCGACTCAAACTACAAAGTTTGCTGCGACTTGGACTGGGCTCGAATGACCCGGAACTTGACTTGCAACTCTGCTTTTAGGGGTTTCTACGCAACACTAGTTAAAACCTTGTTGCAAACAAGATATAACATTTTCTGACAAGTCCTTGACATAAGATCCTAATATAAAATTTCAACGAATCTATCTTCTCGCAAGTCGAGAGGCCATGTTTTAATTAAAGTTGAAGGATACTTCGTAAATCAGTAAATAGACAGCAATATGAGGTGACACATACAATAATACAATGTCGTCCAATGTTTAGTATAAAATTTGAAAATGTTCGCATGCTGTGTTCGGATACCATCAATTAATTATGCTCCATTTGATCACGCTTCCGTCTATGAATGATCATAAAATAATTATATCAATCTCGATCCCGAAGTAAACTGCGAAACCATTCTGACTTTCGTCTCTGAGTCGAATTGGGCATCGGAAATCTGGAACATTAAAGATCTTGTGTCAAGCTAGCATGGAGATACTGAGGGTTTATTATAACCCATGCTCTCAGCCATATTTGTATGAATAAAATTTTCAGCCAATATCTCGAAAAGTAAGGAAGTCGTGGAATTAGGAATAGCATGGAGAGTTCACAGAAGTATCAATTTCAACCAATTTGAGTCTATATATGTTCAGCGATACCCTGATAGTCGACCTTAATCTGTTCCAGAATGGGGTTCGACTACCGATTTGTTCGAGTACCGAATTTTTTCTTGCCATAAGAAACAATGGTAATTATTTTAATTCGTTCTTACGCATTTCAAAATATTTACAAAACCTAAAGAACAAAGATTATATAAATGCGTATATGATTAAGATTAAACGGTACCCCCGAAGTATGTGAACCAAGATGGCGGACACCGGAACGTAGTATGTGTACCAGGTTAGGGCTAGGCCATGATTTCAGGTACAAATACTACGGGAGTCACTTGGCTGGTCCCCTAACTCTTAATAGAACTAAAATAAGAAAACTTGCAAAAAAATTATGGCCCAACCCTAACCTGGTACACATACCACGTTCCGGTGTCCGCCATCTTGGTTCACATACTTCGGGAGTACCGATTAAACATAATAACGATAAAATATAAAAAGTTTTGTATAAGTTAATATACGTCTGAGCAAATTTCTGTGGGTTCTATGGGATTCGTTTATTGTGTGCGATGACGTCATCAAAAATTGTACACCTTGTGGTGGTTCCGCTTCCGCGTTAGTCGTGAAGATTGCAGTACTGGTAGTCTACTGCGACATATTGCATACCTGTATTATCTCGTTTTGGTCTTCGTGTTCATATATTTGCGGGCTTGTCCATGAGAATGGGATTCCCATGGGAAACGTCCCATGGGATGGGATACCACACATTTGTACCAGTTTTTTTTATTTGCTTATTTTTCCAGTCAAAGCATTTAATTTAAAATATATAACCTGTAAAACTTTTTTGGCGAAAAACGAAATTTTTTCTTTTTCCACCTGCCTTTTACATCCTCAATCAAGTGAGATTGCAGAAAACTGTTCAGTAGTTCAAGAGCCTGTACAAAAAAAAATTCATGTAACAAAAACTGAAATTTGATTTTGTAAAAATAGGCAACTATAACAGCCCGAAACGAAAAATAAAAGTTTTTAAAGTGAAGCAGTTTCTCGTGTAGAGCATTATTTGGATTGGAAATATGCAAAACCTAAATTAGTCGCTCAGACGAGGTATTAAATTGGGGGGTTAACGACAATTTGAAGTATGTTTATGGTGAATGTCGAAATTGCGACCAGCTATTATGACACTTCTTTTGATGTATATCGTACCTCGTAATATGTAGGTCTTTCATTGATGAATTCACAGTTGTCCACGACAGAGATCATCGCTAGGACGGCGGACGTCCCGGTGAAACAGCCTTCAATAGATTTCAAATATCGTTTGTATGTCTCAGTTTTCACAGAAGCAAAAAACATAGCGAATAATATACAGCCAGGAATTGTTTCATTCCGTTCTACCCGAATATCCGTAGCGTCCTAGAATGTAAATAAATTACCTTTAGATTTATCGCCGTTGCAGTGTGAACCATAAAATCAGCATCCAGGGTGGAGAAGGTTTTTGAACCAGGACCAAATTTTGCCCACTTAGACTGGGGGACCATGTATGTATGACGTAAAAAGTTACATTTTATGAACAATATTCACAGTGTTACAAAGCAAAGGTGGAAACAATAGGCTTCGTGCCAAAACTAAATTTAACCGCAATCTCACACATATTCCTTGAGCAATTTTAGCTGAAACATCGAAATTTAATTTCAGTTTGGTCGTGGCAGCATCAGGCGGGCCAGATTGAATTACTCAACAGGCCGGATTTGGCCCGCGGGCCGTACTTAGCTCATGTCTGATCTAGGGCATTTGGAACATATTTCGCAGAGAACATTACTTCCTAGCGTCAAAGTAATTAAGGCTGTGAAAAAGAGACAAAATTTTATTCGAAAACTCAGAACGTATTTAGGTTTAATAAGCGTTCTTCAAAGTCTATTATGGAAGGCTTACATACGCCAAACTTTTTGTTATCGATATTTCATTTTTTCTTGGCTTTCGAATCCGAAGTTAGAGTCTCGCTTTTCTTAACTTTCGAAAAAAATCGTAATTCGTTGTAGCCTATATATATATCGTTTTTTGATATATTTACAAAAAGTATAATAGCTATCTCACCTCATTGTGTTGTGAACTTGTAGGCTCCATGCACGCTCTATTTTCTAATGTCTTGTAGCGCATATTCGAGTTCTGATGCAATTCTGAGACTACACGAACACGTATTTCACTCAATATTTATATACCGCGGCTCTGCAATGCTGCTATTATATATATATTTATTGCTTGTGCTATTTTCGTAAGAGACATGTCCTGATTCAAATGCAATCACGAATTATAAATGCAAATTAGTCGACAAACAGTATTAATTACCACGCTAAGCTTATTTTCCTATTTTCAGCGTATTTCTATTTTGCGCGGATTTTGCCTTTCGAACATCTCAAGGTATCCCCCAGTCCGTGTTTGTTTTGACTGCTCGCAATCGAAAAAGCAGCCGTGGTTGGTTTCAGGCACGTTCTACATAATGAACACTAAAAAACGAAAAACATAATAAGCTAGTTAATAGACTAAGGGGGAGTATTATGTGATCGAATGTCATCCGTGCAATCCATTAAATCGAAAAAATTAACTCCACTCCACGTAATTCAAACGCGTTGAAAATTTTTACGCACATAATTGACAAGAATCTTCCAAATGTATATTTTTAATTTTCTACAGAATTGTACGTTTTGGTTCCTGGTGGGATTATATGTGGCATAGGTCGTGCCTTGTTTGTTCCTTCTTACACTATGTTGATTATCAGACTTGCTCATCACTGTGCAGAATACAGTAAATCAAGACAATATAACTACTATTTTGATCAATTTCAAAGTCGTTTTTATTGTCTCAATGAATTGGTACAGGTAAGGGAAATCCTCGTGAACCAGAATAATATTATTATTGTAGAATATGTCACTTTAATTGCTAAAAGAAATGTGGCGAATATCAAGGTGTGTCAGATACGGAGAAAAATGCAGAAATTTTTTGTTCAGATATTGAGCTCCGCAGGACTCGAAAAATGAAATTATCCACAATATAGTTGTTTTACTACAAGGTCAATGGACTTGTTGTGTATGTTAATCTGTTTTTGATCCCCTACACGAATTTATCTCTTCTTGATGACCGCCCCTCGATTCCCTAAATAGTCGAGTGTATACAAATATCAACCCATCAAGATATCTCGAATAATATTTTACGCCATATTACCGCTGCCTATATTTTTGGTTCACAGTATGAAACCATTAATTGAACGCATTATAACACTAAGTTTCATTTATATTTTTTTCATTGAGGAGTTCTTCAGAGAAAGTCTTAAATCCTAAATTAAATATTAAATATTTTTTATGTAATAGGCGTGATTTGTTGACTCTTATTTGTCTGCAATTTTGCGCTCATACCATCATTTCTGCCAAACACATGCAATAAGGAACATTGTGTATTAACTACTTTTCATGGCAAGGATTAGATAGATCCTTAAGAAAAACAAAAGATGTGTCCAAATCCTATAGAATATGGATCATGGTCACATCTTTCTTTTTCCCTCTTGAAGTCAATATTATTGAATTCGTTTCATGCAGATCATTGGAAACGGACTTTCCTATGCAATTTTATACAGTACGACACGCCAACCTAAAGACAAAGTCTATGCAAACATCAAAGATAATTTCACTTCAGCAAACATTACTGCAGACACCGACAAGTATTATCAGCATTGCGGAGCAAACGATTGTCAAGAGTTAGCCGTTGTTCAAGACAATATCGATCAATACATTCCTCCTAACAAAGCCAGTCTGTATATATTTATATCAGTTGCTGCACTTCTAGCAGTTTTTGCTATTATTACTCATTGGGTCATTTATCCTGGTGTAGGACCTTTCAGTGAAAAACTTGCAAACATAAAAACAATGGTCGAGAAAGAAGTCGTTCCTGACCACAACTCTTTCAATTGTAAGGATTCCAAAGACATGGTGTTTCTCCTGTCGGCAAAGATCAAGTCCAGCCTACTTCCCGATTCATTTTATGTCGGTTTACCAAACAAAAATGCAAATCCGAGTGACGAAATGCTGGGAGATAGGGAAAAATATACTATATCGACCAGTATCGATGCAAATGACAACATGGCGTTGTGTCAACAAAATAACTTATTAGAAAAAGGAGACATGGAATACGTGGAACTAAAACAAAGAGAATTTAAAACGGAATCAGAGGTATATTTTACTACTTGCAGAAATAAAATTTGACATATTTCAGTAAATTTTCTTTTTTTTCCCTTAAAGTTTCAAATGAAGTATACGAAGCACAGTACAAGTTTCGCTATAAAGAGTAAATATCAAGTTAATATTCGACTCGGGCACTGGAAAAGAACTATTTTTACATGTATTGTATAAATGGATGGTTACGAATATTTCTATACGCAATATGTAGGATCATTTCTTCACATTAACTTATTCTTGTTGCTGCACACAAATAAAGTCAGTATCGCGATCCCCACTCTGGCGAAGACAATATTTGATTTTGCATCAAGTTTTCGAAAATATATTCACTTTGTTAAATGCGTGCGTGTAGTATCAAAGTATATGGCGCTTTTAACAATTTAAGTATTTGGTACTCCCGTAGTATATGTACCAGGTAAGGTTAGGCAATAATTTTATTCCGATTTTCTTTATTTTAATTCTATTACGAGTTCGGGGACTGTCTGTGTTAGCCAGGTAAATATACCCCCCCCCCCCATAGGCTTCCGTCCCTTTACACAACTTAATTAGTCACCTCCATATTGATACACATACCACACACTTCTGGAGCGCCTCATTTTCTACGCTGATTTTCTTCTCGGATATAATAAAATTTTATATTTGTTTTACTTGGTTTACAGAAAACGTCAAATAGATACAGAAAAACCTTGAAGTTGACACTTCTTCTATTCATGACACCACGTTCATTATTACTCAGTGTCTCGACCCTTCATCACGGTATGATGTTGGGTTTCGTATTTGCAGACCTCACTAGAGCATACGCTTCGTGCGTGGCTGGGGTGCAATGTGTAAGTATTATTATTTATAAAATAATCTACCACCTCACAAAATGGCCTACCGGAAGTATGTGAACCAAGATGGCGGACTCCGGACCTTAGTATGTGTACCAGGTTAGGGTTAGGCCATAATTTCAGGTACAAATACTACGGGAGTCAATTGGTTAGTCCCATCGTAATATAACTAAAATAAGGAAAATGGGAATAAAATTATGGCCTAACCTGGTACACATACTACGTTCCGGTGTCCGCCATACTTCCACATACTTCGGGAATACCCACAAAATAACATTTCCAACTCACTTATTGGCTTGTAACTATATTTTTAATGTAAAGATAACAACCATTGTTAGAGATCGGTGTATTAGAATACTGTGCAGTGGGTAAATTCGATTTACTATTACGACAAATTTGTGGTTGTTTGAAGGGTTAAGTAATTTTCTCAACATGAACTTTTTCCAGTTTATTTCATATTCCAGTATCATGCTGTTATTCTGCATGTATTTTCATTTTATGTTTGCACTCTTCACCAAACAAAGCCCGATTCTCGTTTCCAGAAATGAATTCTGTTACATTCACAGACCGGTGCGTTTGCAGCAACATTTGGTGTAGCTGGAATGATATCTGCTTTGGCCTATGGAAAACTGATTTTATATATTGGGCGACATCTCATGTATTGCCTTTCAACGTTACTTGAACTCGCAGTCTATGCAATTTGTTACTTTTGGGTTCCTCACAATGAGACACTCGGAACAGTATTCGCTATGTTTATTGGAATCGGGATTGTAAATGGACTATTTCGTCAGAACATTATAGGTATATATATATTCTTCTATAAAAATGCTGTTAATACGAAATAGAAATTATCTCACACTCAAAGAATAAGCATGAAGTGGTCCGTTCGATTGTCAGAACAACGTGATTTCCTAGTAGTGATATAGTACAGGGGTGTGCAACATGTGACCCTCAAGGAAAATTGTGCGGCCCGCGTAGAAATGCCAATTTTGAATGATGTGCGGTCCGAGAAACGAGTTTGTAATTTAATTTGATACTTGCAAGTAATTCCAATCCCTTTGCGCTGAGAAGCCAATACCTGAGTCCAATTTATTATCTATGCAATAACAATGCTTTAATAACAGCTAGGTTGTGCAAACAACGCATGTCACAAGATCAATAACCAAATTTTTGAGCTTGCTATGTTGTATAAAGCTGAGGCCAGCGGTTTCACCCAGTTATTTCTTCCTAACCCTCCTGTATTAAAAGTTGCGCACCCCTGATATAGCAGCAGGGTCGTAGCCGGAAATTTCAATCTACGAAAAATTGCAATGTATGATACAGAAGAATGCTTTTATTTTTTTTACATTTCAAAAATGGCGGGGAGGGGGTCCGACCCCAAAGACCACACCCTGTATATCAGGTCACACCCTAACCCTGGCATGATCTCTAAATACCGATATCTTTCCACAGTTTGATAGATAGGGCCTTCTAAGAAGTTCTTTACCCGTTCAACGAGTTAATGTCAACAATTAAACTTACAGCTGCTTACACCATCCATTTTCCAAAGAGTAAAAGTATAGCTTTAAGCGTATTCAACGTCTGGATGATGGGAGGAATGGGACTTCAATACGCAATGACAACGTTCATGTGTGTTCAAGACAAAATATATACACAAGTAGCCGTGACTGTAGCCGGATTCCTGTTTTACGGTAAGCGTCGTGAACTGTTCAGTAGTGAGATTTAGACTATAAAGTAGTAGATCCTCCCTACGCGAGACACGTTACGATTCAAAGTTGTCATATTAATTGTAAGAGCATGTGATAAATTTCGATTTTCTTATTCTGTTTCTTGGAGTCACTTTAATTTTCTCCCACTTCTGTTAGGGTGTCAAATCAATATGAATTTGGGCGCTCCAGAAGTATGTGCATGAGGGCATCTAATTTTGTTCGCCTACGTTACATCAAGTTGTATAAAGGGACTGACGGCAGAGGTTATATTCACTTGGCTAGCACATACAGTACCCGAACTCGTAATGGAACTAAAAAAAAGAAAATCGGAATAAAATGATGGCATAACTCTAACCTGGTACACACACTAAGGGAGTACCCATATTTATACTATAAAATACTGCGACGTATCTGATTTTTATTCTTACTTCATTTCTTTATAGCAATCGCCGAGGTATTGAGAGTGAGGGAAAATAAAAGAAGAACTTTCGACATCGCCACAACGGAGCAAAATAAATTTTCCATTTCCTGTTAGTTTTTTAAACGCACGATCCATCAATGCTTGACCTTTCCTAAAATTATGAGATAATCAAAGCTAATCATTATAGATTCCACGTTGCTCATTGCAGTATGAAAATTACCACAGCAAATAAGAGATTTTAAAAAAGTGACACACGCGAAAATTGATTGTGATTCATCAACAGTTTAGTTTAAGTTGCAGCTGAAATTATCTGTAGAATCATCACTTGAATTGGCGCACCCCAGGAAGTGGTTCTGCTGACGAGTTACGATTCACCGTGTTTCCCAAAAATAACACCTAACACCCCCAAAATAATACCTAATCGATAGCAAAATTTTTTTTGACCTGGTCGATAGCAATAAATCTCTCCTACTAGTTTTAAATGATTGATTATTTTTGAATAATCCATGCTTAGCAGTTTTAAATGAAATGAAATGTGTTATTTATAAATAAATGGAAATCGCTTTTCATATTTTTTATATTTAAAAATTTCATAATTCTTTACTTTATAGTTTTGTTGTTGCTAAATGAAAAAAAATTACATCACTCCAAAATAAACCCTAGTGTTATTTTTCGAAAGAACATTGAAATAAAACCCGTCATGTTTTCGAGGAAACACGGTAGGCCTACTACTAACCCCTGCTCTAATCAAATATTGCATCCTTCGCTCACTAAAAAGAAAATCAGCATAAAGTAATTGTATTTGTCAAAAAATGGAAGCCAATAATGAACAACGTGTATGATACAAGGCATGAAACAAAATATAACGGTTTATAAGGAACTTCCATTATCAAATCTTGGCATCTAGTGGTAGGACTAGATATTATTTCATAATCGGAATTATGAGTAGGTTTTTACTCGAGTTAGTTGAATGTAGGTTAAGCAGAACAGACCCACAACAAAACACGACAAAGCTACGTGATTTTGCCACATATCCCAATCTGTAATATCTGCGGCACTGGTTCCAATTGCTAAACTCGTATGAAGGAATTCTTCTCCTTTGACTGTGACACACACAGTACCGTTGTCGTACTTGGTCATATTGCTGTAAGGAACCGAACCAAATGAACTAGACATTTCAAGTGATGTTATGTTGTTGCAGGAGGTAAAAACGCGGCCTCGCATTTCATTTATGCTCAATGCTACTAGACTGTAACGTGCTACGCTGAGATACTTCAACCACGATAACCAAGGCATCACACTATCAACGTTGATTAGAAGTCCAGAGAAGATGATGGTGAAAATAAATGTAAGTACCATAACTAACTGGCCCACGGGGGGCTGAAAGGTTGACGAGTAAAAAAGGCCGATGCCAACTGCAGAATACCCTGCCAATACCACCGTCAATAAAAATACAAAAAATGTTCCCGGGTCTGCTTTGAATCCAACCATCCAATATGTTATCGAGCAAAATATGATCGGGGATATGGTTCTCAACGGAATTAGATCAGCAAGAACTTTTGCTATAAAATAAGCAAAGACACTGTAGTATCCGGAAACGTGTTCGTGGATGAAAATTTCCCTTTCCTTGATGAAGTTATCAATGACCAATGTAGCACCAAAAAGAAGATTTGTGGAAATAAAGAACAGAACTCCTAAACGATTTTGTACCCCTTTGTCGGGACTGTCGTCAACCTGATAATACAACAATCCAAAAGCTAGTCCAATCAGCACATTAACAACCATGTTTCCAATAAGTGATTGTGGATTGCGTACCATATTCTGTCCTGTTCGTTTCAGTAAAACGCCGAACTGATGGAAAGTGCCGGTAGAATACATGCGACCCGAAACTACTTTGACAGTTGCAGATGATTCCTCGATTTTGTCCAGCTCTTCCTGTTGTCCCTGTGCCTTTTCTAGTTTTTGGTATGCACTCTTTAACTCTACTGTCAAATCCTTTTCTTTTGTGTCGGAGTTTTCAGCACTAGACGTGGATTTAGCGTGATGTCCGTTTAAAACATCGAGAAAAAAGTCAGCCGGATTGTCATGCATTTCACAAATATATCCAAGGCTCTCAAAAAATGCTAGCGCGTCTTCATTGGGGCCGTGATAAACAAGGTTTCCTTTGGACAGTAGTGTGAGAGTATCGAGTAGCTTGTAGATACTGTAGCGAGGTTGGTGAATAGAGCACACGATTGTGTGTCCTTGTCGACCGAGTTTCTTGAGAAGCATCATGACTGACCAAGCGGTTGCAGCGTCCAGGCCAGTGGTTGGTTCATCCAAGAAAAGTATTTTAGGTTCCAAAATGAGCTCTAGAGCAATAGAAGTTCTTTTTTTCTCTCCTCCAGAGATGCCACGTATGATATCATTGCCAATCTTTGTGTCAGCGCAAGAACTCAAACCAAGATCTTCTATTATTTTCTCAATTTTTTCTTCCTTCTCCACTCGGGAGACTGTTGTCGGCATTCTCAAATTTGCGCTGAACCATAGAGATTCTCGAACCGAAATAGTCGCAACCATCAAGTCATTTTGAGTTACGTAACCACTGTAATTTCGGAAATTTCTGGGTATGGGTTGTCCATCTATGAGAACGTTTCCTTCACACCAGGCGGGATCTTTTCTATTAGCCAAAACATCCAATAAAGACGATTTTCCACTTCCAGTAGAACCCATGATAGCATTCAGACCAGGCCGCATAATGCCACTGACATCGTCAAGAATTGCCTTCTTTTCAACATCACGACAAGGACCACAGCAAGATTTGCGCAAATCAACGGTATACTTGATATGATGAAAACTCATAACTGAGCCTTGAATTTGGGTTTTATCTTCGTTGCGTGGAGCTGAAGATACCACACTAATATTTTCAATCACAACATCCGACCCATTACTTGGCTCTTCGGGTACTGATATTATCTCAGACATATTTATTAGTATAGAACAAAGCTAGATAGATTAAAAAAGTACGGAATGTTTATTGTTGGTTGTATTGACTATTCAAGAGTTACGTACGAGAACTTTGTACAATTTTATTCATCAAAAATCTCTACAGCAATTACGCGACTTTAATTTTCAAAAAAGAAGATTTGAGTCAAACAGGATTATTTGTTTCAAGCTCCGAGGTAAGCTCCAAGATCTGAATCGCCAGTGATTTAAAAGCGTTTTGGGATCCTGTGCCATGTTTTGATAACTTACTACCCTACTTTCAGATTACCGCTGAATCTTTCCCGTTACTCTGCGAGATGCTACATTCACCCCAGTTATAGAAGGTTATCAGGCTATAGCATACATTTGAGCGTAGTGTTTCAATAGTCATAGGCGAATCAGCGACCTGGCGCCATGGATCTACAATCGAACATCAATATTGAAAGTTCTGTCTATTATTTATTAATCCATTAGGAAAGGTAGTTGAAATTCACCAGACAACCTTATTCGGAGATCTGCTAACCGCTTCTACCCTAAAAGGTTCCACCTTCACATCAGCATTCGTTGTTTACGCTTTGGAAAAACGACGACAATCTAAAAGTCGATCGTCCAAATATAATAATTAATCAACCACTAATTACGACGCGTTCTATCAGCACTCTTGTCTCATCAGTCGAGTTAGTTGTGTTATTTACTTACAAATTTCTACAAAAGAGAAACCTCAATTTTCTCCATACCGGAGAAACTGGGCTGTAAAATCGCAAAAACATGCAACAACATTCAAGTTATGTAAAACAATAATATTGTCGCCTCCACCATTGAATCTGTGTGTCCTGGGATTATCGTATACGATATCTATCTGTACTTAACCTTTATCCGCCAAACGGAAAAAACGTTAGTTTCTCCTGTTTTGCAAAAAACTGATGCACGTTAAAGACTGGTCATAGATAATAATTATTTAACACTTCCTAGGTTTTTGTAGCCACAGATCAATACAAAACAATAACCTCGGGCGCTACGGTGTAGCCGTCGCTCGTGGATCCTTGGCCTTTTATCCAAATAAGACTTATAAAGCATATACACATTAGTTCCATCTGAGAATAATTAATGAATTTTTTTATTAAACTTCCAAAGTTGCATAGTCTATTGTCTGTACATTGAACAGTTGATTTACACACCCTTGAAACTAACATCGTCGCGTGGATAATTTTGCACCCATATTTATACTGTTCGAAGTAGTAATGATTTACATTTTAATAAATACAGCATTTTTGTATGTCAGGCTTGACTTGAGCGCAATGTATTTTAGTCTACCAGCGTATCCCAAACTTTTTTGGACACGGAACACTCGCTTTTTTCTCGCCTCGCGGAACACCAAATAATAAAAGGGTAAAATTTAGAGATAGTGTAATGCAGCGATTCATAAAGGGTGCCGCAAGTTGTCAAATGCGCCACGAAAACAGAATTGTGCTAAACATAACTTAAATATGATTGTATATTTTACGTATTGCATTTATTATAAATGTTTTATTGTTTCTTATTTTAAATGATGTGTATATGTCGAACGTGAACTCTTGGAAATAAGACTTAATAAAGCATATACACATTAGTTCTATCTGAGAATAACTAATGCATTTCTTTATTAAACTTCCACGGTTGCATAGTCTATTGCCTGTACATTGAACAGTTGATTTACACAAGCCTTGAAACTGACATCGTCGCGTGGATAATTTTGCACCCATATTTATACTGTTCGAAGTAGTAATGAATTACATTTTGATGAATACAGCATTGTCGTATGTCAGGCTTGACTTGAGCGCAATGTATTCTAGTCAAGACCAGCGTTTCCCAAACTTTTTTGGACACGGAACACTAACGCTTTTTTTTCGCCTCGCGGAACACCAAAAATAAAAGGGCAAAATTTAGAGATAGTGTAATGCAGCGATTCATAAAGGGTGCCGCGAGTTGTCAAATGCGCCGCGAAAACAGAATTGTGCTAAACATAACTTAAATATTATTGTATATTTTACGTATGGCATTTATTATAAATATTTTATTGTTTCTTATTTTAAATGCTGTATATATGTCGAACGTGGACTCTTGGAAATAAGACTTAATAAAGCATATACACATTAGTTCCATCTGAGAATAATTAATGCATTTCTTTATTAAACTTTCACGGTTGCATAGTCTATTGCCTGTTTATTAAACAATTAAGTTACACAAGCCTTGCGACTGATATCGCCGCGTGTAGAATTTCGCACCCATATTTATACCGTTCGCAGTAGTAATGATTTACTTTCATTGCATACAGCAACAGCACACCATGTATGTCAGGCTTGACATGAGCGCAATGGACAACATAAGTTCCTGTAGAAGTAATTTTGAATTCAAGCCAAAGTCACGACAGTCATAACCGAAGCAATTCGCGTGTACCTTGGTCATATAATTAAATTTTCTAACTCTAATCACCTCCAAGGAACGGACACTGTTGGTTAAATATCCGATATTAAACACCAAAACTATAGATTTATAGACGCTACTGTACGCAGTAAATATTTCTCCTTATAACCATTTATATCATTCATGTCTCAGTCTAAAGTTATCTGTCACTGTCCTTTTGCCATGACGTTTCCTTCAGATAACATATAAAATCACGATTACCTCTACGAATAAACTTTAATGTGCCAGACGTCATGTCCTCACTGAAATCAGTATTCACTGACAATAAATATTGATCCGGATGTAACCGTTCAAGTTGGGCGTCCTGGCTTTTAAACGTGCAATCGCACAAACACCTTGTGCCCAGATACAGCATGACAGGTATATAAGAACAAGGACATTTCGTATCAAGCTTTGAGATAATCTCAAGGTATACCGCATATTATACAGATACCGAAAGGAAGAAATATTAAAACATCTCATTGGCATGATGTCAAAAAATGCGAACCACAACATTTATCGCTGTCCGGTTGTGTTGTGAAATTTTATTATATTACCATGGTTAACTGAATTCAGTTAACCATGATATTACCGTCGCCCCCGTCGGTTTGCACTGTTTCGTAATGTTAAAACTCGGCGATAAATATTTAGATCAAAATCATATTTGCTGTCGTGTTTTCGGCCTCGTGTTCGATATGTTGACGTCATATTCCCATATACGTAATGGGGAATGAATGTATTATAGCATTTTATGTTCATTTCCGCAACGTCATCAAAACAATAACTAAGTTGTTGTTATGAAGTTCAAAATAGCCAAAGTCCGGTAGCGCAAAGTATTACGCATGCCGTATTTTATGGAACATAAGGCGCACCGTCAATAAATTGCTTAAATTGGCGTTAAAGCATAAAGCACTACCAGATCCATATATACATTATGCGCACCGACTTATAATGAGGATTTTGTTTTTTATCAATTCTAATAAACAGCCTGTTTTAAAACAATTCTTTTTGAACAAATTCCTACTTATAATGCACAGGATCGATTCTTGAGAAAAAAAATAGATTTTAAGTGCGCCTCTGTTCATCTTATGAGTATTCTTTTAAACATGAATATTCAGTACTTGAATAGAGAAGAATTCGCTACAAGAGAATATTTATAAATAACATTGACTTTGCCAATATGTTAGACCATTGATCTCCTATTTTCGGGAATGCTCAGAGAACATGTTATTATTTTTAGCCTTTTTATTTTGTTCACTTTATGCATTCTAATCGATAAAAACGATCCTTGTGCAAATTTGAAAATTTTCATTTTAAAGTAGCATACCTTATTTCTAATTGATTGTACTTATTTAAATGCGTATTGAGAATTTTGTACTTCGTGTTAAAGGGGGTATCCAGTGGTGGGATTCCGCCGGTTTGCTCCGTGTTTTTGACCTCGTGTTCGATATGTTGACGTTATTTTTACATACACGTATCGGAAAAATGGATGTATTATGGATTCATGACATGTTCATTTTCCGCAACGTCATTAACACAAAAACTAAGTTGTTATTATGAAGCCGGCTGACAAAATATTTGAACTCCACCACTGAGGGTATCATCCTACCAACGGCTATTCATCAAAACTTAACTTATGCAGCTCAATAAATCTTTGGCTCAAAAATATAGTTTGTAGTGTTTTTGCGTGAATGAATACATTTTATAAATTCGGGGAAACATTATATATATATATTTTTTTTCAATGTGAACCTTCGATTAATGCTTGAAATAGCAATTCAATGCAGTATTTTCATGTTCTCTTTTCTTTTACTTAAAACTTATTAAAAAATGGAATTGATCATTCTTTGCCAAACAGACCGATGGTCAAAATAGCCCTTGCATTCCCTTTATCAATATGTTTTTCAATATTATATTAGAAAACCGCTTTGAAAGTTTGGTAAATTTTTACTGTCTTTCTCCAACCCAGATTATTACCAAATCACCATTAGACACAAACATCACAGTTTATAACACAGCAAAGCAGGACGTTAGTAAATAAATTGACTGTAAATTATTCTAAATCGATCTATATGCTTTCCCACCAAAAAAATAAAGCTTTCTGTTTATCTTTTGGTCATGAAATGCTAAATGAAGTGTCATGCATGAAATATCTTGGGATATTTATTGACAATAAATTTAAGTGGCATGCTCATACAGAATATCTATATAGCAAGTTATCAAGAGTGACTGGGATTATGTTCAAACTATTTGACATTGCATGCTTTGAAAATCATTCACCATTCATTATTTCATTCTTGTATTCTGCATGGTATCGTAACTTGGGGTTGTTGTGACAAAACCAGTCTTAACAAATTACAGCTAATCCAGAATAAAGCAATTCGAGCCATCTGTGGGGTGACACGCTGGGCAAATAGGAATAGTTACTACAAAATCCTTGGTATTTTTAGAATAAAAGATCTATATTTTTATGAAATGGGAAGGCTCATGTATCAAGCGGTAAATAGCATTGCCCCTCGCGTAATACAATAATATTTTGTTCCAACAAAAATGCACATACATATGGTGTACTCGTTCAT